TGGTAGTGCAAACACAGAAGCAGTGCATGCATAGGCTTGTGAGTGTATGTATCCCTGTATGACTTAACGAAGGCATGCCCGGGTTTCTGTGTGCATCGTTAGTTACAGCGCCATAAAACCAGATGTGTATAATATGTGTTCCCCTACTGGCAGCAATATATACAGTTTTGCGATAGTCATTGGGGTTGCGGATAGGTCTGAGACGACACAGAAGCAAGTCGTACTGACATGCTGAAATACTACAGTGCAGACTCAACTGCGTAGTACTCTCGCAAACAGACAGACCTTCTCTGCACCTTAGATTACCGGGTGTTAACGTGGTAGGTTAACGTGTTAAGACAAGCTGGAATGATACATGAGACAACTACTTAAATGATTCTTTCATTTCGCTTGGAAGCAGCTGAAGCAGCTTAGTGGATTGTGGTGGTAGAGCATTCCACGGTAGTGCAAATATACAAAAACACATGTACGGGCTTTTGAGTTTATGCTTGCGTGCATGTGTATCTGTAAGAACAAACATGCCTGCGCATTCACGTATATATCCATGCACATACGTACTGCATAATGTTACTTTTGTGAACATTAGCATGCGTAAATGCATGCGTGCATAGTACAATTCTATATGAGACCAAGAAACACAGTACTCAAAAAACCCAGGCCCCATGGCAGGCCGCTCTCTAACCAAAAGGGTTGGGAGACGGAAAAGCGCCCTAAGGCCCTCCTCACCGTAGGCCGCTCTCCCAAGCAAACTCTCCAGCCCGGAGGGTGAGTTCGATGAGCTCAGCCCTAGAACCCCCAAAGCTTATCTCTGAAACCCTGAAGCCCTAAACTTTAAGGGTCCATGTACCCAAATAGAGATACATGAGCCCCAAAGTACCTATTAAGGCCAATGTATATACTATATGAGTACATGGACCCTTAGAAAAGGGCCATAAAGCCCAGAACCCTGGAGGCCTTCGATCCTGAAGCACAGAGCTCTAGAGCTCCAAGCCCTCTGAGGCAAATGCCTCCTCCTGGAGGATATCGAGGACAGGATGAAATCGAAGTCTTCAAGTTTCTGTACCTTCCGCCAAGTTGGGCTTTAAACCCCCAGCCTGAACCCTACATACCGGACGGCTTGGCAATGTAGAGTTTAGGCTGGCTTGCATGCTACAGCCGTCAACCTACCACCATCTCAGGATTCTGTAGTAGACCTTTGGATGTGTGCGCAGGATTGGGTTCAACCGGAGCTTTGGGTTTAGTATTTCGGCTTAGGGTTTCGGGTTGAATGTTGGATTTGTTGCTATGGAGTTTAGGATTCTTTTAGTTTCAGGCAGGCATGTCCCGCAAGCTCGGCACAGCCTTCAGGCCCCTGAGGGGGTTCTTTGTTTGACCCAGGCAAGGCCCACTTCTTCGCGCCTGGCACGGTGCGTGGGCTTTTGCAGCCGGCTGCAGATCCAAGATGGTCCATGCACACTACCATTATGGAATTCGGCCCCCAAAGACCATCCTGATAATGGTTTTGGGGGACCTGATTCCATAATAGTAGTATTTATGGACCCTCTGGCGATGAAGCTCACTGCTTCATTGCTCCGATGCCACAAAGAGCTTGGCAGCCAGCTCGGTCATTGCAGATCATTCCTAACCCTAAGCGTCCAAGTACCCAAATAGTAGGGTTGCAAGGTCCAAAAACCATTCAGAGTATGGGTTCGGGGATCTAAAACCTTACTGTTTGAGTACTCGGAACCTTTGGGTAAATGCACAGGCGCTGCCTAGCAGAATGTCCCTGAGCCTTCTTTAGGCGTTGAAGCCTGGCTCCGATGTGACCTATTGGGTTTAGGGTTGAGGCTTTAGGGTTTAGGGATAGCCTATGCCCTGTAGGTTCCAAAGGGTGCAACTCAAATCAACTTAAAGGTTCGTGGGGCTTAACTCGTAACTATCCCTGGGCATCAAAATAGCCCAACAGCCTTACATAATATGGTCTTTGGGCCCAAAAGCCTTAATATACGAGTCCTTAGATGCCTAGGGTATAGGGTTATACATTTCGCAACTATGCCTGGAATTATTCAGAGCCCTTAGGTTAGTGTCCCTTGTGGAGCCCTTTGAAGAACCATTCGTGGAACCGCATTCTGGTAGCCCGCATAGAATAGAAGCCAAATTTAAAAGAGCCCTTAAAGGAAGGCTACTCTGTACTATAGTGGGCTTCCTCCTCATTGCATCGTTGTAATCATATAATATCCCCTTAGAGTCCATACATTATTGACACCTTAAAGCCCTGTGTCGGTTGTGGAGGTCCCTGCATTCAGGCTCCCCGGGGTTCGGACCCTAGGCTCTTCTGATCTTGGGCTCGAATCCGGGCCTTGAGAGGACCTCGAAAGGGTTTAGGGTCTAGGCTTTAGGGTTTAGGGTCTAGGGTTGAAAGGGGCTTTTACATGAATTTGGTGGGGATTTGTTAGTTTGGTTTTCGGAGGTTTGGCCAGGGATTACCCTGAACTCTAACCTTAAACCCTGATGCGTGCTGACACGAGTCTTGTCGCATCCAGGAGAACCTGTATCCATCCGTCGTCGAAGCTGCGACTAGTTGGACCTGGTGGCCTTGTCGGTGGCCGCGGTCTTGGATCGGGGCCTTTGTATCCCTCTGTTATCCTCATAAGAGTATACATATAATCCACCTAGACTCCTAGTCTAGTACTAAGGCATCATTGAGGCCCCTTCGTTCGGTGCGTTTTTGTTCTTGCCCGCGGTTTCAGATCCCTCGGTGGGCTTCTTGCCTAATAGAATCTCTTTGAAGGGATTTAAGGCATGAGGCCTAAAGTGTAGGGATTTAGGGCCCAAGCTGTAAAGTGTGTTGAGCCCGCCGTAGACTTTCGATTTTAAATTAGGGATGTAGACTTATAAAAGGGTTGAATCAGAACCCATGGGGCATGTTCTTCACCTTTGCAGGGCTAGGACACACCCTACAGCCGTACCAGAAGCAATGACTTTGATACGTGATGTGGCATCGACACCGACATCGATACCGTCGAGATTTGTAAGTTCATAAGACATAAGTGAAGTCTTATGAACTTACGGGTCTCCACGGTGTCGATGTCGATGTCATATTAAGCCCGAATCTCAGAATCTCTGTCAGACTGCGGCAAACAAACCCCAGATGCCATCCTGGGCTTGCAGGCTCTGGCCCATTTGCGAAACTGGTTCTACGCCGGGCCGACCGAGACCCTAAACCCCTAACCCTTAAACCCTAAACGCTGAAAAGTAAACCCTTAAACCCTTAACCCTACAATCCTCAGCACTGGCATTCGGTACTGCCGGCTCTATCAGCCTCGACAGGGAGCTTCCGAAAATTAGGGGTACCTTACTTTGGGGTCCTTATAATGAGGATCCTTCTATTTAATGTACTATATAAGGGACCCTGAACCCTAAACCCTAAACCCAAACCCCTAAACCCTAAGCCCCTAGCCCCTAAGCCCCTAAGACAGCTGAGTTGAACGACAGTCGGTTTAGGATTTCGGGTTTTGGGTATGGTGTTGCGGAACAGCATATAGCCTTCAGACCCATCTCTTACATGGAGCATTTATAAAGTGTCGTAGAGGTTTCTGGATGTTTGAGAAGTATATCCCCTTACCGTCACAGTCTCTATGTGTACCAAACTACCCCAGAGCCCCATTCTACCTATTGCAGTTTCGTCGGTCAAACGGTGGTGTAAGGTTGAACTTCAGCAACTAGGTGATTCGGAAAGCTTCTGATTGCTTGTCTGGTCACAGGGTACCCAAGAAGGATGGAACATGGGTGTAGGATTATTAATCTAAGGGTCCAAGTACGCAAATAGTAGGGTTTCGATCTCCAAAAACCATTCAGAGTATGGATTTTGGGAACTAAAACCCTACTCTTTGGGTACTCGGACCCTCTGGGTTAGGGTTCATAAGGTTTAGATTTTGGATGATGGATTAGCGTTTGGATTTCGATCCCAAGCTTTCCGGAACTCTCTGGCTTCTACGTCAGAGGTGCCTAAACTCTACGCCTGCAACCCCGAGCCTGGTTCTTGGTATTCGTAGTAAACTGGGCAATGTTAGAATAAATGAGAAGTCGTCACACATAGTCATAGACCTCAAACCCCATGCAAACCCGGAAGTCATAAACCCCAGGTTCTGTCATGTGCCGCTTTTCCGCACCTGTTGGCACAAGCTCATTGTGCTGTGGCTGTCGGTTCTGAGGCGGGACGGGTACAGGTCTTTAGGATTGAGTGCTCGGGGCTGTTGCATTAACAGGCTATTTGTGATATTCAGTTTGTTATTGCTTGGGGTGTTGGGCTTGGGGCAGGTTTTATTGTGGTTGCATGCCAGCGAATTATCGCCTTCTACATGTCCATTGCTAAACTTGGGTAAAGCTACCGCCCCAGTCCTGAATATGAACACTTCTTCGCTAGATAGAGTTTACAAGCTACTTCGGTATCGACAGCTCGTTGCATTGGGGATCCTTATTCGAGTGACCTTTTGCGGACATCAGTGATAAAGGGGGTACTGCAACCAGTTGCTGCGTCTTCCCCCCTTTGGTGCAGGGTCGAATGTTCGACCTGCATGTTAAGTAGCTACTTCAACTGTTGTGGTGTTCTGTGTGTGGGCTATGTAGCGAAGTCGGCACGTGTCATCAACTTTCTTCCCATGGTTGTTGAAGGAGAGGCTACATCGACTCTGGGTGAATACAACCTGCTGGTATTCGTGTGCATGGGTGGTTGTCAAAATCATGGTACTGTTTGGGTCCCTACTATAATACGTCACCTATCATTTAGGGTGCCCAAAAAGGGGCCATAATTTTGACAACCACTCGCATGTGTGCCCATCTTTCCTGGTTGCCGATTTATCTGGCTGTAGGCTGACTGTTCATTCAGGTTCCAGCTGTGCGTACATATACCCGAAATTCATCCAGTAAGTACAGCACTCCACCTCGAACCGAGACGCACCTGCAGCCGTTTCATCACGATCAAATTCCTTTGAACTGCCCGGAAAAGCCGGGATTTCAAGATGTTTGCCTTTGCGATCCGGACTTTTGTGGCTCCGGGCTAAGAGCTTCGGGCTGGGGGTTTAGGGTTCTATACGGCCCCGACTCAGTAATAGTCAGTTGAGAAAGTATTCATAATATAGATATATTAGGAGCTTGATAGGGGCCCTATTATCGACTCTTACTGTAAGGGGGCAGTACCAAAGTTTAGGGCTATAATTAATTGTGTTTATTGCTGTCCTCCACCCTTTCCGGCTAGACCGCAGACGCTACCTGAAGCTTGGAAAATCCCACCTTGCTAGGGCTCCTTCTTGCTGTGTCCGTATGAAGTCCTTAAGCAGGTAACAGGTTAGGTTGGTGGGGAGGTTCACATAGATCCTGAGTACAAACGTTTGGGTTCAGGAAGAAGCCAGACAGTTCAAACAGTACTACCCTCATGCCCACAAGGCAAGGCACAAGGGATCCTAGCAATAATCATCTCAAACCCATGGTCCAACTTTCTGGGCTTCCCTGTATACCCGTATTCGGAGGCATCCTCGAGACCCAGCGGTTTCGGCTCTACCGGGTTCTTGTTGAAGAGGAATTGCTTGTTCGGAAAGAGATGTCGCCTCTACTCTCTATGATGTAGTCCCCCTTTTTTTTTGCTATAAATGCTATAACTTCTCAACCTCTAAACTCCTAACCCCTACACTCTTAAACCTAAACTCCTAAACCTTTAGGACTCCAATCGTCAAGTCGACGAACCCACAGAGGCGCTAGATCGCGGAGTAGTGGTATACCATACTTGGAGGATCGGGGGACGTAGTAAGTAGTTATCTTAGAGACTTATAAGTACCATAACCCCAATTAGGGTCCCTTTTAAGACACTTATAGGTCGACTTATAACCTACTTGCCAAGTCCCCCGACCCTCCAAGTACTTGGCGCTGAAGAGGTTCAGTCAAGAGCTCCTTTAAGGACTTTGTGGGTTTAGGTTAGGTACGGCCCCCTTACAGTAAGAGTCTATAATAGGGCTACTATTAAGGTCCTAATATATATATATATATATATATATATATCTATATATATATATATATATATATCTGTATTATGAATACTATTCAACTATTACTGAGTGGGGGCCGTACCCAAGGTCTAGGGTTTCCTAGACCCCCACCCCCCAACTACATCCAACTACGCACTCTTAGAGACCATTAGGGCTCTCTTGAAACGGTACTTGAGGGGTTCTGGTTGAAGAGTTGCCAACTGGGTGGTTGTCCAAATTAGGGTCCTTTTTGGGGTCCTTAATATAATACGGTACCTACAGTAATATTTAGGGTACCCGAAAAGGGACTATAATTTTGACAACTACCCAGAGTCTAATTCTAGGGTTCCTTGATGGCTCATGGGTTCCGGTGCGCTTGACCCTCCAAGTTGAAATGGCCCTATCAACAACATCTTACAGATCGCTGCAGGAATCCATGGATAGAGTATCCAGGTATTAAGATGCTTGTTCAGTCCTCTCCACACTCGACCTGAACCCCCCACGAAGCCCTAATTACACTAAACCCTGGACACAAAACCCTAAAAACCCAAATCCTGAAGCACCTAAGCCCTTAAAGCCCAAAGCCCTAAGCCCCAAACCCGAAACCCTAAACCTTAAACTAAACCCTAAACCCTAAGCCATTTAAAGCCTGAAGCCCCAAGCCCGAAGCCCTCAGCAAGGTCGCCCTTCTTGTGGCGGCCGACGCGGAGACCTGTGTGGATGGCCAGTGTCCAGCTAGCCCAAGGTGGCCCGGGAATGATTACAGGGCTTAGGGGTTTCGAGGGTTTAGCAGTTTATGTTCTAGGGTTTGGGGTTTAGGGGTTCAAGGTCCAGGGGTTTAGGGTTTAGGGGTTTTGAGGGTTTCGGGGTTTAGGGTTTAGGGGTTTAGGGTTCATAGGGTTTAGGGGTTCCCGCTGAAACTGAAACCATGGACCGTTTTTGGGTTCGAGGATCGTTGTATTTCAGGTTGATTACGAGTTCTAGGCGATTCTAAGGTTTCTGACCTCTCGTTGGCTTAGCGCATGGGGCTGTGGGTTCAAGGCTCTGGGTGGGGGCTACAATACAAGGGTAGTTGAGTGGTCTCGGCAGGGGTTTAGGGTTTGGTGCTTAGCATCTAGAGTCTAGTCTAGAGCTTAGGTGTTCGGGATTGAGGGTTAGGGTGCCAGCGATTCTAATATAATCTACCAGAATATACCCAAACCCGTGTTCCCATGATAAAGGTCCTTACATCAGAGGAATGCCTGGAGCTGTCTTCTTCCTCAGCTCGACGATCACCGCTCTGAAGGGCTCGGAACATCCGCAGCTGCAGGGAATATGAGCAAGCCCCAGGGCGGACTTTCATAGAAGGCCAAAAGGGGTTTTAGCCTATGGGGGTTTAGTAGACATTAGGGTTCCCCTAATAGGGTTCAGATTAAGGAATCCCGACCCCAAGAATCTAAACCCCCCCCTTTTGGCCTCCCATCAGACTTTCTCGTTCCGTGGAACTCGGCTACAGCCTTATATGGGTAGTTGTCAAAATTAGGGTCCTTTTTTAGGTACCCTAAATATTAGGTGACGTACTATAATAAGGACCCAAAAAGGGACCATAATTTTGACAACCACCCATATCCCATTTGGGCACAACTTTTGTCTTCAACCCGTAACGGCTTCACCCCACGTCCCAACAAACTCGAACGATTTTGGGTTTAGGGTGTTTAAACATGTAAACCAATCCATCATCTCAAATCTCTTAAACCCTTGCACGAACTGCATCTGTACTCCTCACAGCGCTAAACCTAGAAACCCTAAAGCCCGAAACCCTGAACCCTGATAAGCCCTATCCCTAAACTCCGAAATCCCCAAGCTCCCGAACCCTGAAAAACCTGAAGCCTCAACCCGTAAACCCCAACTGGGTTTGGGCTTAGGGTTTTGGGCTTACCTAAACCTCCCTCCCAAGACCACCTGTAAAAGGCCATGAGCTATTATTCTACATAGTTTTGGCGTGCAGGGCAGGGGTTCTTCTGGGTCGCTTCGGTGGATACCGAGGCGGGACCGGCAACTGAAAGGTGCTGAAAGGGTTTAGGGTTGGTTTCGTTTCTGAACATTAACAATCGAAACCCTAGCATTGCAAGGACCGCTGGCGGCGTCTTTATGCAGATGCAGACCAAGCGCTTCAGCTCAAGTCCGACCGCTGTTATAGGTTTTTGGTGGGATCCTGAAATCCTACGTTCTCCCTGGAGCCTTCACCCTAAACTCTAGATGCCCCTTAAGGCCCAAACCCTCAACTCGGCACTAACGGCTACATTTCCTGGGATGAGAAAGCCAGTTGCCGGAAAGCTAGCTTCCGGAACCCTTGCCAGGGGTCTTTGTATGAAAGAACCTATGATTTGACGGGTGATAACTGTTCTGCAGGTGTTGTTTGGGTGAGAGTCTTGCGATGCGAGGGTTCTGTGTTCAGTGTCCTCGATTGCTAGAAACTCTTCCATCCTAAACCCCAAATGGGAGTGACCCTAGTATAGTACCCAATTTAGTAGGATCCTTTTATAGGGACCCCAAACTACGGTACCCCTAATTTTCGGAAACTCCCAAATCATCCTAAACTTTTTCATCCCCAGCCTCAATTCCCCACCTCCAAGCTCCAATCATAGGAGGCCAAAAGGGTTTTAGTCTATGGGGGTTTAGTAGGGATTAGGGTTTTCATTATGGGGTTCACATTAAGGAATCCCTACCCCAAGAATCTTAAACCCCCCTTTTGGCCTCCCATCATCCAAGTCCTAGCGATAATTTCACGTGTGGCAAAGCGCTGGGGTCTAAGCACATCTGGAGAAATGGAGATAACCACAGAACAAGCCCAAACTCTTTACTGTCAAGCTCCACGTGCGGACAAAATTCGGCATCTTAAACCCTAAGCCGTAAGGCTTCATATGGCCAGATAGTATATACTTAGGCCTTAAAGTGCCTACACACGGACCCCTTCAAGGCTTAAGTATCTCCTATACGGGTACATGGAACCTTTTGGAAACCCCTAAACCCTAAACCCCTAAGCCCTAAACCCTGAACCCTAAACCCTCCCTGCACCCAAACCTGTCATCCGAGGCCAAAGCGAGCTCTGGTCGAGTCAAAGGACGTCAACTTCATATGAAGTAGGGTTTATATTACCGTTTTGGTGAGTGTAGTTAGGGCTCCTTTTAGGATTAGGTGAGTGTATATATTGGGTTCTATTATGGGGATACTAGTAATCTAAACCATACTCTATTTGTTGAATGAAAGGTTTCCCCAAGGGTGCAAAGGACGCAAAATTAAATCAGGTACTCGGTTTTAGCATAGTAGTTATGAAGGTTAGGATTTTGGAGAGAATATGATTATTGGTACTTGGGTCCTTGGCGTTTAGAATGTACAGCTCTTAAGCCTTCACCCACATCGTTGGATCAGAGGTTTTGTTAAGATGTCAGTATTTCTTTGCAAATCCTCCCTGCAGCTTAAATTCAAACAATCCAAAAGGCCTACGTCCTGCGCGCTAAGCCAAGCCCTTCCGGTAATCTCCGGCGTTGGTCTCACAATCTGGCTCTTGAGGATCTTAGGAGTTTCTGATTTTGTTTTATGATTTTTGCTCTTGCTGTGACAGCTTCAGAGGTATATAGGGCTGAGAGTTAAACTTTGCAATAGTAAGTAGGCCCAGGGTCCCATCCGATTAAAAGAAGCATCTTGTAAAGCTGCAGGGTTTAGGTATTGGGCTGCAGGGTTTACGTGCTTGAGGTGTAGAGTTGTGGGCTCAGGCTTAGGCATTACAGCCCTGCTTCTGTTCTGCCGAGTAGGGTGTGCATTTTCAAGTTTGATCGCCGTTGACATGACTCTATAGCGCCAGCTCGAGCACCAACCTTGATGGAGCTGCCACACCCTACGTCCTTACTACGGGACAGCTTCAGCACTCAGAGCATCATCCTTCACCTCAAGCCCTTACCCAAGGCCTCCAAGGACCTTGTAGTTAGAGCCCTAGACCCCTTAAGGACCCAATAATATGTCCCTGGAAGCCTGGGGTTAAACTTTAACCTCCTGCCGTAAAGATCAGCTCATTACTGGCCAGGATGGGCCGCACATCCTGCATCAGTGCCCGGCGACGCAGGCCGGCGCTTGAGGTTCAGGGTTTACTTGGAGGGCCAGGGGACTTAGTAAGTCGTTTATAAGTAGGGTTATACTTGGAGTAACTCCATTAGGGTACTTGTAACTCCACTTATAACCTACTTACTAAGTCCCCTGCCCCTCCAAGTAGGGTTCAGCGTTCAGGTGGCTCAGGGTTCAGCAATTGAGGGTGTCGGCATCGAGGCCAGCAGTGAAGAAGGTTTGCAAGCGTGACTCCAGCTGGGGGTTTGTGTTTGTATGTACGGTAGGCAGATTAGGATGATTAGGATAGATTGCTTTTCTTTACATAGACAGACTGAAAGATAAAGAGAAAGAGAGAGAAAGAGAGACAGGAGAAGCCCAGCCCATAAGCCTTCTACACCCCAAACCACAAACCCTAAACCCAAGACGCCCCAAATCACAAACCCTAAACCCCATATGCCTTAACCCTCTACATACACCCTGAAGAGAACAAACCCAGAGGCCGGCGAGAGCTTCGGGAACGTGCAAACATCGCAGGCGCAGGGCCGGCTTCTTGAAGTTGGGTTTTGGGGTTTTATGGTTTGGGTTTTAGGGTTTAGGGTCTTTTTGGGTTTTAGAGTTTGGGTTTTAGGGTTTAGGGTTTTTGGGTGTTTTAGGGTTTGGATTTTAGTGTTTAGGGTTTTGGGGGTACCTGTAAGGGGTAATAAGGGCTCCCTATAAGGGCTCCCTATAAGGGCATTACAAGGGGTACTACCTTTAAAGGGTATTGGAAGGTGTGCTAGACGGGTACTGTCAGATTTACCCTTTGTCCCAGAGGTGGTCGTATTGTCCTAAACCCGAAACCCGAAACCCTAAACCCGGATCATCATGAAGCACAAGCTGCAGTCAGCCCCAATCCGCTTGCAGGTGGATGAGTGTTCGGGACTTGCGGCGAGCCGCGTGAACCGTGGCGTCTACTGGGAAGCTGGGTGGCATCTTATATAGAGGGTTTCAACCAGGGTTTAGGAGTTTCGTCATTGGATCTAAGCAGGTGAGTGATTAAGGTTTGGGAAGAGCTCTGCATACAACCCTACCCTAAAGCTCCATGTACCCATATGGTATATACTTAGGCCTTAAAGTACCTACAGAGGGACCAATGTAAGGCTTAAGTATCTGCTATAAAGATACATGGATCCCTTGGGTAGGTTTATCATGCCCCATCCCAGACACCCGGGAGGATCTAGAAAGTAGATCATTTGGGGCCCTATACTACTAAGGGCACTTTATAGGAACCCCCATCAAGGGATCTAGTTTTTGGATCCTCCAAAGGGGGTCCGGGATGCTACTTAAATATGGCTTAAATTATAGAGGGCTTCATATTATGATTTAAGCTGTATTCCTTAATTAAGGAGTACTGGGCTCTCTGGTGAATCCGGCTTCTCTCTTTAGCGGGTGAGAAGTGAGGAAGAAGTTTCCTCACCTAGGGTATATCTCTCAATCGAGGAATATACCTTAAATCATATTAGGGGTCCAACTATAATCAAGGGAATATTCCTTAATCAATTTTCAGGGCTATTGGAGTCCCTGGGATGTTTGAGTTTCAAAAAGGACCCGTCATCGGCCCGGAGCCAGAAAAATCACGCACAGTGGTCCGGCCACTCCATTCCGTTCCGCTGTTGGCCCAACCGATCAGCTACTCAGTGAGTAATGAAGTACTCGGACGCCCTAATTTGTGGTAAGGCTTCGTAAGGAATCATACAGTGTGATGCTGTAAGCTTATAAGCCGTAAAACCTTAACCCGAATGTAAGTCTCATAGAGGTTCGTTTGTTGGTTGTGCCCTCACACGGCTTTGAGCAAGTTCTGGGTTTCGGGTTATGAAGGTTTCGATAGATTCCGGCTTTCGGGCGATGGGGTCAGGGCTTAGGGCGCCATAACGGTTCTTGGGCTCAGGCTTTTCCAAAGGGTTTAGGGTTTAAGTTTGGGGTGTAGGGTTTAGGGTGTTCAAAACGTCCTGATACTTGTCGGACTGCGGAAAATCGGACTTCTGACCAAGGTTTGGCTCGAGCTATCCCCACAATGGATTCCCCTACTCGCTTAGGTGGGGTTTTGCCAGACATCAGTTCAAAAGCCCAATTCTGACCATTAGAACCCATGATGCATAAGGCTCCAGCCGCGCAAAGCTTGAGTCTAAGTTCGAAACGCTAAACCCCTAAACCATATCCTAACCCTTTGACCGAAATCCGACCTGAACGGAGAAACGGTTGATGATATAAATCCTGCATTACCTTAAGGACCCTAAACTATGGGAATTATGGCATATTCCTTATTATGGGTAATGCACATTTATATCATCAACCGAAGCATGTCTAGTGACAACAGTAGGCTGTATAATCAGAACCTTATAATCGCACGAGCAACATAGGGGCCTGAATTACTTGCTACTGCTAGTCCTTCCGACTCCCTATATGGACATAACATAATGTCACCCTCTAAAAACTTAGTCCAGTCATAGCGACCCCCATGCCATAGAACCTTTAGAGTAGCCTTGTAGGACCTTGTAACACAACACTGAAAGGAAGCGTGTGAAGCCCACTTTTGAAAGCCTTGGGCCACTGTAGTACATACTGTAAACCCTAAGTCCATCAAACCCCAAACACCCGCAAACTCTAGAACCCTCAACCCCTGCGTAAATTTGCCTTGTTTGGCTGGATCTACAGCCATCCAAGCATGGCCCAAGCTATTCGAGCTTATTATGAATCTGGCTCGCAGGTTTCGGATTGTCGGATTCAATCGTGCTCCGGAAGTGCGGAAATTGAAGGGTCGTCTGAAGGCCACGGCGAGGAACGACCGTGCCGACTGGACTGAAGACTTGCTGAGTCGTCCCGCAACGATGCAGCCCAAGATTGACGTCACGAACGGATCGACTGCGCTCAGAATTGAGAGCGTGATGCTTGCCAACGAGGAGCAAATTGAGACAATGATTGGACTCTTCATTATGCGGTCGGTGCAGGCTGAGTCTATGTGTGAGTTTGAAGCCGGACTGATTGAAGCGGTAGCGGACGGGTCAGGGTCATCCAGCTCGCGGGCCAACTTTGGCCCTTGCGTCGACGATCCTCAAGGATCCCAAAGGTAGATTGCTCTTTCGGCAAGGCCCTGAGGATGTGATGGATATGCTGCAACACATTCCCGAGCACGTTGCGAAGCTCGTCGGGCACATACTGTGGACAGAAATCATGAATGGAGTGACCTCTACGGAACTGACAGCAGTTCAGCCCCCCAGTCCCTAGACACTTGAAAGTGATCCTTATAGATTCCTTATAGAATCTTCAGAACCCTTCAATAATACTTAACGAAGCCATGTAGAGCCCGTATAGTATCCCTGACAGAGCCCTTGCCGTAAGCTTCATTAAAGCAGCCATATAGGAAACCAAGCAGAGCCCTTGAGGAACCCTTATTGTAGAACCCTCGTTCATTGAGCAACCTGTGTTGTAGAACCCTTGTTCGTTCAGGAACCATTAAGGAACCCTTACAACCCTCACGGGGTCCTTAAGGAACCCTTCTACCCCTTATGGGATCCCTTTGAAGGATGCCTTTAGTGGAACCCGTTGTCTCAAGGTGAACAACGACTCCGGCGATGGGCCGAAGCTGACGCTCGGCTTTCTCTAAGGTTCCTTCAAAACGAGGGTTCCTGTAAGACTTCCCTTAAGAATATGGGTTTCTGGCAGGGATCTTTCGGGTTCCTTTGTCGAATCCGGAAGGATTCCTCTAAAGGTTCCTTGAAGGGTTTCTCTAAGATTCCTTTGAGGATTTGTTTGAGGTTCCTTTACGGATTCCCCTAGCATTCCTGTTAGGGTTCCTTCAAGGGTTCCTGTGAGGGTTTCTTTTCCATATAGAAGCTCCGACTCTAGGCTAAGGGTTTTCTAGGCTGGGGCCTTGCTTAGGACCTAGGCTACCCTGCATGTAGGTCTAGCGTAGGTCTAGGATTGGGCTGGGGGCAGGCCTAGGGGTAGGCCTAGGGCCAGGCTAGGGGTAGGCCTGGGGGCAGGGGTAGGAGTAGGTCGGGGTAGTGGTAGGGGTAGGTCTAGGTTTAGGCTGGGGGTAGGCTTGGGTAGCATGAACATTGGACGCTGCTGTTCAGATTTTCAGCGCAAAATTCGCGGCGCCGCTCCGACACTTTGCCGTCGAGTTGAGTGCAGGCGGCAGCTGCTTTCGCTCCAGCTTTGTGCTGTCGAGCTGGCGCTCCGGCTTCGCGCCGTCGAGCTGTGACGGACTATAGCCTGAGACTCTCGCTCCAGCCCTGTGCTGTCGAGTTGGCGCTCCTGCTCTATGCGGTCGAGCGGCGTGTACACTCGACGATGCTCTTGAGAATTCCAGCACCAAATTCGCGGCGCCGCTCCGGCGATTTGTCGTCGAGCTCCGCGCGGGCGGCAGCCTCCTTCGCTCCAGCTTTGTGCTGTTGAGCTAATACTCCGGCTTAGCGCCGTCGAGCTGTAACAGACTGTAACGTGGGAGAGCGGCTCCGGCGAGGACGTCGCGGCATGGCGACACCGGCACAGTTTTCCGAAGCTCCAGCTGCTGCGGCAGGGTGTGCACACCAAGTACCGGATTGTACAGCTTCCGGCTTTGAGGAGTTTTCCATGGCGTGCTTCAGAGCCTCCAGTTGCCTTTTAATCACTCAGCTACAGATGGTTCCGCACGTGTCGCGAGCTCTGGCCGGCAGTACTAAACGAGAACAATGCTCGCCCCTGGACCTACCCCTAGCCCGACCCTAGGCCTACCTTAGGCCTATCCCGAGCCTGCCTAGACCCTACCCCTAGGCCTACCCCTAGCCTGACCCTAGGTCTCTCCTTAGGCCTATCCCTAGCCTAGCCTAGGCCCTACAGCTAGCCCTTCCCCCAGCCTGACCTAGGCCCTGCGGCGTAAGCCTACGCACACCCTGCCCTAGGCCCTACCCCTAGACCTACCCCTAGCCTAGGGCCCCGGACTTCTATACCTTCTTTTCGGCCCCTTGGTTGATCAAGGGTCAAAGCACTCACACATCTGTAGGCCTCATCAAAGGTTGAGAGTAGGCTTGAAGGTTTCTAAACTTTAAACCTAAACTCCAAACCCTTGAGTGGCATTTAGCGTTTGGGGGGACTCCTTGAATAGGGCACTACTGGTTGGAGGTGTCTGTGCTGATTTTTTTGTTTGTTCCGCACCCTACGCACATTTAAGTTGTAAAGTTTGGCTTTGAAGATATCTGAAGCAAATGAAAGAGTTACGTGGGAGAGTTTGTAGAGGCTGAACCTTTCTGAGGTATGGCCTCACCCGTGAGGGAAAGCATGTGGCACGGCTCCGAATTGAAAACAGCCGGGCGAACGACTGGGAGGACGTGGCTATCGGCCCAGGCCCATGCTGATCTCGGGATTCGATTTGCAGTTCAGGGGATAGGTTGCTAAACCCAGAGATCCCCCATAATGCCCAGTAGTACCCTTATTCCCTTTTTCTAGTCCTAGGTTCCTTATAAAGTTACCCAATACCAAAAAGAGAGGCCTTTTTATTCTTAGGTTACTGGGTATCCTCCCTTATCCCATCCCCAAACCCAGGGTGGAATCCTAAGCCACAGCTTCAGGTCTTTGAGCTCGAGGACCGAGAAGATTAAACTGGGTGGCTGTTGCACTTCGGCTTCGCAGCATGGGGCCTTAATCCTAAACCCCAAACAACATCTTAAACCCCTAAACCCTAAACCCGCAACCAAAAAAAAACAAAAAGCAAAAACAAACTAAACCCCAAACCCCAAAGATCCCCAAAGCCCCGTATCTTAAGGTTGAGGATTTCGGCTTCAGGGAAGGCAGCTGGCAAAAACCCGAACCCCAGGACCCTTGTACTCCAAAGCCCTGAATCCTGGTAGGATTTGAGGGTTTAGGGTTTAAGGTGGTGGCGTGGTTTTGAGTTTAGAGGTTTAGGGTTCCGGGTTTACGTGCCTGAATCCTAAACACAACATGGAATCCACAGCCTTTTGCAAGCGAATAGGCCCACAACCTGTGACCGCGTCTGCTGCCCTGTCTTGAACGCCCATGGGTCCTGAAGGGTCAGGGTTAGGTTAGGTTTTAGGGTTTAGGGCTTTTAATCTAGTCCTCGTTTCAGTCTTACATAACTCTCAACATTCCTCAACTTTTATCCTTTAACTCCACCTTGGACCCTAAGGCCCTAAATTCTGAACCCGGTGTGCGCCGGCGTCGGTAGGCAGGGACAGTATGAGAGGGCCATCACACCTTTAATCCTTGAGCCGTAAACCGAAAGCCCTAAACTCCCAAAATGTCTGAAACGTTGATGCCAGGCCCAGAAGCCGGCAAGTCTTACATCTACGTCGGAGTGCTTGGGATTGCAGGTTTTTGGGTGGTGGGGTTTGGGGTTTAGTTAGGCTTTTGGGTTTTGGGTTTGGTTAGGGGTTTTGGGTTTTTAGGGTTTAGACTGGGAGTAGGGTTTCGGCTATCAGCGTTTCAGGGTGTTCGCGTTTGTTTTTTAAATTTCTGCTTTCAGGAGTTGAGGGCGTTTGGGTTCGGGGTGTAGGGTTGAGGGTTTATGGGTTTAGGACCTGGTGTTTATGCATTTGGGATTCACCTGGACCCGTCCCAACTGTTCTCAACGTTTGTTTGCAACCTGCCTATTCCCCCTTTAAGGGCCCAAGTCCCTAATAATCATATACTCTCTTAAATAGTAACCTCCATAAGTATTACCTGAAACCTACATATATATATATATATATGAGTACCGGATTGTTGGGTCCTTTGGACCCTTAGCGTTTCGACCCGAGAGCAACCCTCGACTCCCTGAACCCGGCTCGGACAGAATCAGAAAGTTCATGCCCTCGAGCCCTCCACGGTTTAGGGTTTAGGGTTTAGCCTCCACTTGGTTGAATGCGGTGTCTGCATTCCCAGACCCGCGGGAGGATCTAGAAAGTAGATCCCCTAATTTGGGTCCCTATACTACTAAGGGCACTTTATAGGAACCCCCATCAAGGGATCTAGTTTTTGGATCCTCCTGGGGGTCTGGGTGATGGTATAGCTTACTTCCAAATCTTGACCAGGCTCCACAGTATACCCTTTTGCCCTTTTTGTTTTTGGGTTCCCTTATGAAAAACCAAACGGTTCCCTGTGAAAACCAAACGGTGGGAAAAAGAGCACCCTTATGATTAAGGGGCTACTGGGGGAACCTAGTTGAACAAATAACAGTTTAGGGTTTCGGGTTTAGGGTTTCGCATTAGAGGCCTCTGGCAACAAATTCGGGGAGGCGAATCCTTCAGCAGGCCCAAACCCGAATCCCTACCCTGAAGGGTCCAGCGCCCAAAAATCGAGTTCTAGGTTGCGGCTATATAGCAGGTATGGAGGTTACTATTTGGGAGAGTATATTTTTCCAGGTACTTGGACCCTTAGGGCCAAGCCTGAACCCTCAACCCACGCTGCTCGGGCTTGTTCCAAAAGGGTCCATATACCAAACAGTGCATACCTTGGCCCCAAAGTACCATGTTGGAAGTACTTTAAGGCTAACATATATACTATTTGGGTGCATGGACCCTTAACTCTTAAAGCCTATAGAGCCCTTATTGGAACCCTCACGGTATCCTTAAAGGAACCCTTAAAGGATCCCTAGTTGGGTACATGGACCCTTACCCTAAACCCTAAACACCCTTTAAGGAATCCGAACCCTTAAAGGAACTCGAACCCTTAAAGGAACCCGGACCCGTAAAGGAACCCGAAGCCTTAAAGGACCCCGATTTGGGTACATGAACCCTTCGGGGTTGTTGCGATGTCGGAGCGCCGGTCTCTAAGTTCCGGGTTGGTCTGCATGGTGTCGGTCGTTAACGCTAAACCCAGAGACTCCAAAGCCCCGTACGTGAAGAAGGACTGTTCCAAGGGTCCAAGTACCTAATACTCATATACATATACTCCCCAGAATCCTAATCTACATAACTACTATCCTAAAACCGAGTACTTAATTATTGGGTCCTTTGGACCCTTGGTTAAGCGAGTCTTGAGGCCTAAGCTGCAAACCCCAAACCCCCAAAAGCCCTGAACCCCTATAAACCCTTATAAACCTTCTGAAGCCCGCTGAAACCCTTAGAAGCCCTTATAAACCCTGACGAAACCCTTTAAACCCCTGAACCCTAAACCCCTCAGCCCTTAAACCCCTTGTAGCCTAAACTATGCACCCGAGCCTCCTTTGGCTACACAGGAGCGAGTACATCACAAACTCTGAGCCCCAGTCCAACCCACATCATAAACATGCATGTATGTATCCGAGAGGTAGGTCTTTTGTCATTGTTGCTACCTGCACAGCCTTTCTGTCTTATAGGGCTCATGGCTGTTGTTGAAACTCTCTTCATCATGTTGGCATTGCGCGGGGAAGCAAAGCTAAGGACGTTGGCGACAACCGACGCCAGCGAGGCAGCCTGATTGCAAGATGCTTTGGGCATTGGGAGCTGATGTCCAGAAGCGTTTAGGATTTAAGGGTTTAGGGTTTAAGGGTTTAGGGCTTAGGGTTTAAGGGTTTAGGGGTTTAGGGTTGCGGGCTTAAGGGTTAAGGGTTTAGGGTTGTTAGTTGGCGTAGACTTTGGACATACAGTATACCGCTGTAATTATGCGGTTATGTGGAGACATGGCATGTGTTTTACTATAGCTGTTCAAACTTTCACGTTTGACATTACTTGTTTGAATTCTGGGCCGAACTAGGGGCGTCTTCGAACCGAAACTATGCAGACTTCGCCAACATAATGAACCTGACCTTCCCTGAACCACCCCCCGCCCCGCCCCCTGAACCCCACAACTACGTGGCACTTTGTGAAAAAGTTATGATTTCCCATGTGGTTCCTATAGAGGTCTCTATTCATAAATACTTTTGAGGGCCCCAGAACAACAACCCAGCCAGACATATCCAGACCCCCGGAAGGACCTAGAAACCAGCTTCCTTAATTTGGGACCCAATACTACGAAAGGCTTCGTATAGGAGCCCCCTTAAAGGGATCTGAGGTTTGGATCTTTTCAGGGCTCCGGATAGGTCCCATCCCCAAAAGCTGGATATTGCAGAACCGGAATGGGTTCCAAGTACCAGGGGATTTACGGGTTGAGGGGGGTTGAGCTGTTTGGATTTAGGGTTTTAGAGGGTTTAGGGTTTGGGTGGTATGGGGGATACTTACCCAAACCATAATGGCAATTCCTACTGTTCAAGCCCTATTTTCTAATGTGTAGGTACTTGGGGCCCTTTGAGCAAGTCTTGTCGAAGGCACGGTGCAGATCTACCGCGTGGAAGAGCCCAATATCCCGAATGGCCGTGGCCGAAACGACGATATCGTGTGCCTCTGACGGCTTGATGTACCTTTGATAAGGATAGTATAAGGGGTGTATTGTAAGGGGTACAAAATTGGATGCTGCAAGGCTTCAGTAGGGGCTTCAACAACTAACTACGAATCCTCAGCGTTCCTCAGTACGTTATGCAAAAATGGACCCCCAAACCCTACGTATTACGCATCCCAGAGGGTCCAAGTACCCAAGTAGTAGGGTTTCACGGTCCAAGGAGCATTTAGAGTATGGATTTTGGGACCTAAAACCCTACTATTTGGGTACTTGGACCCTCTGCGTGTTGAAGTACGTGAACAGGTGTTGGTGTCGCAAGGTTTGAGTTTCAGGGCCGGGCACTTTGAGTTTCATGGCTAGCCATCGGCAGTTCTAGAAGGTAAGTAATTGAGACACATGTCTAAAACAGGAAGCTGTCAGAATTCCGGTTTAGGGTTGACAGTGTAGGGTTTAGGCTTCAAGGTCTGGGGTTTGCGGAATTGCGGTCCAAAACGTTTGGGTTAGCTGTGCTGCTAGGACTTGGCCTAAGGGTCGAAGTAAGTAATTAATCGTAATAATCGTAGGCTTTGCCAACTGCAAGTCTACAGTACTGTCAGCATGTACCCAGACAACTAATTAGTTTCTTCGCACGCGCAACCTTTTACCCTAGACTACTCCAGTACAGTCCCGATTTCGGCCCTAGGATAAATCCCAAACCCTAACCGTGGTCTGTACGTATATATATATATATATATATATGTATATAAACTCCTGCTAATGCTCAAGTAAGTACTATATGTGTACATGGACCATTCACAATAATGCAAAGAAGCCTAAACCCGAAATCCACAATCCGCATGTGTTGTTCAATGTGGGGAGCTTCGCCCAGAGGAGGGTCTATATATGCTTTTATGATGGTAAAAGATCCCCCAAAACCATGATTAGAATCGTCTTTGCGGAACAAAACTAGTACCAAGAGTGAGCCCTATATTGTTTTTGTAAGGTTCAGGTTCCCTTTTCAGCCCCTTGAAACCAGAAAGGTCACCCTTTGTATTCCTGGGTTACTCTTAGGTCTAGCCTTTTGGGAACTACCCTAATATGGATCCTCTGGGTCAGGAAGCAAAGTCCCCTAGCTGCAGGCAGAGATCCTTTCCCTAACACTCCCGAAAAACTGGTGAACCCTCTACTCGTAGGATCTCGCACAAACTCCCGGTATACCCCTCAAACATGTGTGCGTGTGTGTATGTGTGTATTCATATATATATATATATATGTATATATATATATATATATATATATATTTGTTTATTTATATGTATGTATGTCTGTATGTACTAGTACTGAGAAGCCCCACATTACCTGAGTCCTGATCGATGCAGGGTGCGAGCCGAGAGGTTCGATGCCTTTCGGCGGCACAGGGAAGGGTTTTAGGGTTTGGGGTTTTAAGGGTTTAGGGTATAGGGTTTCGGGCTTAAGGGTTTAGGGGTTAAGGGTTTAAGGGTTTGGAGTTTCGGGTTTACCTAAACCCTTCAAGGTAAGTAGAATAATGGCCCAACACCTATAAAAGGCCATTATTCTACATACTTTTGGGGTCCAGGTAGGGTCGAAAGACCGAGATTTTGGTTTCGTGTGTGCTTAGTTGTCAGGGTTTTCAGGGCTTGGGAGTTTCAGGGCCCCAAAACCATGGTTACATGCCAAACCAGTAAGGGCCCATACGCCAAAACCGCATACCAAACACGTTCGACAGAATAACCCTGTTTTGCCTGCTTGAAAAAGGCAGACATTGCACATGTTCCGCATGTCTGATGCTGTGCCGAGTTGACCGGTCCGAGAGCTTTCTGGATGTGGCTTGTGAGGGTTTAGGGTTTGGGGTTGAAGGTTTAGGGGTTTAGGGGTTTAGCGTTTCGAATTTAGGGTATAGGGGTGTAGGGTTTTGTCGCGTTTTGAATATGGTTTAGGCTCTTCGGGCATGTAGGCTTGACGGTTTGGTGACCCAGCGGCCTAGCTCTTGTACTTGGAGGATCATGTAACTTAGTAAGTAGGGTTATAAGTACCCTAATTGGGGTTATAAGTATAGTTCCCTAATCATAACCCTAGTTACTAAGTCCCATGATCCTTCAAGTACCTCAATGGAGCACTGGAACACAATGGAACAGCACTTTCGAAGTTGTAACAAAGGCTCCACTGCCATATGCATCTATGTTCATAACAATGTCGGTTTGCATAGATCCTTAAGCGCTCATGTACCCAATAAGAATGTTCTATACAGTCTTCCCTATATAGGTGCATTGGGCCCAAAGTATATGGGTGGTTGTCAAATTTTGTGGTCCCCTTTTGGGTCCCTATTATGTTACGGCACCTATTATTTAGGGTACCCAAAAAGGGACCCCTATTTTGACAACCACCCATATACTATTTGGGCACATGGACCCTCTCAGGTATTCGAGGGACCGGAGTTCAGGTCGGATGGGTTTGGGATTCTTTCTTAACTGTCTTCCGGTAGAGGGGGGGGGTTAGGATTTAGGGGTTAGGCTTCAGGGTTTAGGGTTTTGGTGGCCTTTTTTCCGGAGAACATGCATGGAAACCTTCTCCTGGCTGGGCGTTACGAGGTTTGGTCCTAGAGGCTCCACATCCTATATCCGTTATAACATACTACTCTAGTGGCGACTTGGACTGTAGCTGCATGAGACTCAGAGTGCGGTACCCAGGATACAGCAGTGGGTGTGCCTTTGGCATCGAGGAAATCCGAGGCCCTATAAACCCTACGCCTCAATTGCAACTGAAAGCAGTATGACAGCCTACAAAAACACCCTTATGCAACCCTTCAATGTACATTAAACCCTAAACCCGAACCCGCCCCTCAGCCAGACTTGGAATTCCAACTAACCTTTAGGCGGAAGGAAAAGAGGGTTAACAAAAAAGGCTTAAACAGCCCTGACAAATACATGGCGGGCTCGTCAGGTAACTTACCCAGATGGCATGAAGTACGATTGCGAGGCAGAGACCACTGCTGCTTCGTTTTTAGGGTTCGGGGTTTTGGATAGTTCAGGGGTTTACGGTTTAGGGGGGTTTAGAGTTTAGGACGTTGGAGCATTTAGTGGTTCTACGATGCAGAGCTTCGGCTCCAGGAATGTGTCACAAGGTTGTTAGCCTTGTTTAGTGTTTCCGTCAGTCTACCTGGACGCTATGGTTTGCTGGTTACATTCGGTTTTGGCTACAAGACCCTCACCAACATATCCGTCATCAAACAAATGGTGCTACATCTAAGGATCTGAGTAATTCTGTAATTTACCTACAATATGACCCTGATCCCTGAAGGTGGGTAATATACATGTAACAAGTACCCTAAAAGTAATCCTAATTTGTGTTATATTACGAACACGTTTATAAAACAACTACTTATTAAGTCCCCCGACCCTCCAAGAATCCTAAACTTATGAACCCGAAACCATCAGAAGTGTCTTCGGGGCACGGCAAACCCTAAACCCCCAAATTCCGGACTGTAACCCCAACAAGCCTGAACATCACAATCTGATAGCCACATAAGTCATAACGCCAAAAGCCCAAACCTTGCCCCCCCCCAAAGCCCAAGAAGTCTTCTTGCTACCTTGCTACCTAGCTTGAAAGTCCGCCCCCCCCCCCCCCCCCAACCTCCCCCAAACACTAAACTTACCTCGACCCAAGTACCTTTTCCAGGCTGTCTTCATCGATCAAGGCTTGGGCGCAGAGAAGCATGGCACTGTCGGTCGCCACTTGGTTTAGGGTTTAGGGGTCAAAGTTTGGGGTTTAGGGTGTAGGGTTTTCTACGTTGGGGGTCTGTTATGTCGCATCGAGGGGGTTGTGCGGACTGGATTCCGGTGTACTAATAATTACAAAGTCTATCGTGATCCCCCGAGAATGATAAGATAAGTTTGTTATGTTGACAGTGACAGTGACAATAAAGGCAGAACAACATTCAAGCTCATTCATCCTGATCCCGAAGCTGAGCCTTACACGACCTACATCAGAAACCCTACACGCAAACACCATACAACTATAGCTTCCCATGGGGGATGGGCGGGCCAAAAGTTGTAATCATCTGTTTGTATAACCTAGTTTGTTTATGTAGCTGAGTTGTAAGGGCAAAAAGTTATACGCTTCTGCCAGTCGGTATGTACGTAAGTATACAAGTCAGTCTGCCAGTCACAGTCACTCGCAGTGAGTGAGCGACCGAGCGAGTGAGTTGGTTGGTCACTGTGCTAGGTGCTTACTCTTGGGGTGGTTTCGTCGGTTATAGTTACTATTCACTGACCACTCTTGTGGCTTGTGTCCAGTCTCAGATCGTGTACATACATATGTGTGTGTGTGTGTGCGTGTATTCGTACTGCAATACTTTCGAACTCAAAGGGTCCTAAGCATGTATGTTGAGGGTTTTTTTTCAGAGGTATCCCCCATAACAGTAATTACCCAGGACCCTTTGAGGAAGCTGTGCTCGAGCAGTCAGAGTCCCTGTCATATAAATACGCCCCCCCCCAGACCATGATTGGGATTGGTGAAACTACATGTTCTGGTCGTCTCACCGTTACTTGCCTACGGTCTTCGGCTATGCAGTCCAAGGTGAGAGTGACATGTTCGCGCTTGCGCTTTAGGGTTCAAGCGGGATAGAGCCCCAGATCGAACAGGCAAGAAAAACACGTCGTGTTGTGTGTAGGCTTTCATGTTCAGCGTTCGGTGTTTGCTACCAGTGATTGTTATTGCATGGAGCCCTCCTGCAGCTTACTTTGCTGAATGGTCCAAGCGCCAAGCGGACAAGATACAGCCATTTTGCATTGGATGTCGTGCACTGCGCAGTCACTACCGGAACTGCCGCTTTTTCGGGTGCATCCTTATCATCAACCGCAGTTGTTTTTCACTGCAATATATGCTCTCCTTGCAGGCCTGTTGGTGCAGAATGCTCCTTCGCAAAGCCGTTAAACATACCACCGGCATAAACCCGGAACCCTGATCCCTAAACCGTCTGAACTCAAGGTTAGCCTCCATAGCCGAAGCCCCAGATACTTCAGGGTTCCACGATGAAGTCTTGCATCCGAGCCCTGCGACGCTAAACCCCTCATCCGATATCTAGAAGTTTCAATGTTCGTCTCATCACTCTTGATAGTACTTGTAGTTGTTTGCGCAGCCCTGCTCCAGAAGCCGGATACGTCCAGGCATGCTAGGATGCAATGTGGCTGTTTCGGAGTCGAAAAGACTGTAACTCTCATCGTGCAAGCAAACACAAGGCCACGAAAGACTGACGTTTTATGCTTTGCCAGCAGCTCGCTCGTTTAGTCAACAGAATTTGCAAGTCACGGGGCATGCAACAACTTTTGGTAAATTCGGGTTTGGTCGGCTAAAACGTTTTGTGCGGCTTCGCGAGATTGTCAGCGGCGTGAAGTATCGTGTCACTTAGTAAGTATGCTCGAAGTTTTGCAAATGTTTGGGGTTCTTGCATTGTACAAGCCCTGTACACAGCCCAAGCAAATTGAAGCGGACGCCTCGCGGAATCCTCAGAAAGCTTCCAAACAGCCTGCCAACCAAGTCTCAAACATCCTGGAATCTTCAGAGAGCCACTGCAAGCATTGCAAACCAAGCTTGAGACTTACTAAGCATTGCCATTCGACGTCCATGCAAACCAAGCCGCAGAAGGGGGGCAAACATAATGCGAAGGCATGTGATCAATTTCACTTGCACGACGCAAGAGAGATGACAGATTGACAGAGAAAGAGACAACGAGGGAGCGAGAGCAAGCGAGGCAGGCAACGGGCATCTTCCAGTGAGATCGCGGTATCGCCATTGCAAATAGTCAAGCCCCCATCAACTTTGCGCAACATACTTCATCTTCAGGTAATATGTCCGAGAATAGTCGGCACCATCAGCCGGAACCTAACAAGCTACTGTCTCGAACCCTGCAACACTACACAAATTTTCTGTTCCAGACGATTGCTTCCGTTTCCGTATTGTATTTGGGTTGAATGATTGGCAGTTGATTAGCATTCCAATTACCCGATCGTGTCAGGGGTTTGAGCATTCTGATCCGGATGGAGGTTCAACTTAGCGTTGGGATGCTTAGGACTGCAGTATTTGACATCTGAGGCTTGTACTTGATCACCAAGGCGCAGCCTAGGGAACCGAGTCGGATGAGTTTAGGTTCACGCGGTCCCTAGAGGGCCTTGGAAGCCCAGGTGCCCAGCTGAGGTCGTGCATAACCATCCCTATTCAAAAATACTTTAATGAATTTCCAAAATGGAACTGCGCATTGGGTCGCGCAGCTTGAAACACCAATTCCACGTTTTCGGTTCTGAGGAACAGCCCAAACCCTAAGCGGTAAACCCGAAACCCTAAGCCCAACCCCAAATCCCAAGAGCACCGAAAGCTTCGGCGCCGGTCAGGTTTACAGGGTTGAGGGCTCATAGTGTTCCACGACCCTGGGAGGATCCACCATGTAGTTCTGATATTTGGTGGGGTTGCTGTGAATTTCCGTCACTTGCGTGGTTCTACTTTCTAGATCCTCCCGGGGCTCAGGGTTAAGGTTAAGAGCCTAGGGTTTTGGGTCAAGGGTGTTCCGAAGCAAGAAGTTATTTTTCCCTAGTGCCTGCAGCCGGTGGATTTCATATGGTTGTTTCTTTAGATCATTCGTTTTAAAAATAGGTTGGGTTGCAGGTAAGCCTTACACCCGCGGAATATACTCCAGAGTACCTGCAAAGTTGAAGTTGCTTCCCGGATTCTCCAATATCCCTTAGTTAAATATCATAACTTAAATTATACTGGGATATCATAACTTAAATTGTAATGGGATCCCTGATATGGTTGACTGCATATTCCTTGGCTTAGGTGGTTAAGGGATCTAGGAAGATTTGAGTTGGAGTTGGCATTACCGCCTTGAAAGTGGAGGGATCAGGGTTCTGTTGAACTCGGGTTCCTGCACTTTAAGGATTCCGTTAAGGACAAGCCTTATCTTATTATGGTCTTTGGGCCCAAAAGCCGTAATATATGAGTCCTTGGATCCCTAGGGTTTGAGGGTTTAGGGGTTAGGGATACTACAGGAGTTTAAGTTCCCTCACCCCCAGCATTTAAGTCCCTGAAGCTTTTGGGCCGTGTACCTGGCGAAACAAGAAGGAAACTGGCAGACTTATAACTTATAAGTTTGTTTGAAAGGGATCTTAAATTGAGGTTGTGATACTTATTATAAGTCTATAAGTTTATAGTTATAGTATCAGTCTACATCATAACAACAGTTATAGTATCAGTCTACATCATAACAACTTACGCAGTCCCCCGACCCTCAAAGCAGGGGGACGGTCGCAACAACGATCCGCAGTGGCGCGGAGGCAGGATCTCAACTTAGGGTTTAGGGATATAGAAATTTAGAGCTTACTTGTAGGCCAAAGCCTGCATCTTTCAAGGATTTCTATAGTCCAGTACAAAGAACTCCAGAAGGTGGGGCTGCAAGTAGGGTTTAGACAAGGAGGACACTACTGACAGAAATTCGATGGGCAGCGAGAGGTTTCAAGAGGAGTGTTGTGGCATGGTCGAATTGGTCTTGTGCGTGCAATAGCTCGCTGATGTGGGATGTGGGTTTCTGGGCGTGTCGGATTAGGACTTGAGAGTCTTATGACGTGGAGGTTTCCGAAAATAGGAGACTAATATGGGACTCTAAATAATGGGATCCTTATCGTACGGACCCTAATTTTCGGAAACTCACATTTACGATTCAAGGCGTTTCGGCCAGACCCTAAGCTAAACCCAAGACCCTGAAGGATAATTCTCAGGCCCTACATCTACAGCCCGAAGGAAGCAAGTACCACCCCTATTATGGTTTCCTCATATACCTAGACTCCCCAACTACCCTCTACTGTACCCCAAAAACCCACTATTGAGGGCCATAAGGCTTCTATTAAAGGGCACTTGGGGGCGGGGGTCCTGGTAAGTCTTCAAACATGGCATTTGAATCCTAAACCCCCAAATCCTAAACCATGAGAAAAGGTAATGAGGGGTTTAAATAATTTCCTATACTATTTAAGGGGGGGCTCCTAATTATAATTATTGTATTAGGGGCTCCAAAACCCTATTCTAATGATTCAGAACCCTATACCCTTATAGTCGCCCTTGTAGTAATCCTTATAGACCCCTTTAACCGAACCCTATTCAAACTAGCTAAGGCCCCTATATTAGGTTTGGTCCCTCAGCCCAGAGAGCCCAATACCCCTTAATCAAGGAATACAGCTTAAATCATAATATGAAGCCCTATATAATTTAAGCCCTTTTCCTTAATTCCCTCATCGACCCCCTTACAGATCCCTTTAAGGAGCCCTTTTAAGGAGCCCTAAATATTCCTTGGGCTCTCTGGGAAGTGTCTCGGTCCGGGCCTCGGCTTCGAGGCGACGTTTTTTACGTGGACCTTCCCGCGCGCGGTTCCCGATTGAACTTCGTGAAAACCTCCGTGCGCATCAATGTCGACTCTTGTCTGGTTTAGGGTTTGCTGTTTTAAGATTTAGGGTTTAGGGTTTAGGGCTTGGTCTAGGACTTTCGTCTGCAATGAGTATTATTGGGTCTTGGTTCTGCCCCGAGTCGATTTTTCCGTTTCATGGTTGCATCAATGTCGATTCTGTGGTTCTGATTGGCTTTCTCACGGGCATTTAATATCATGAACAAAGTTGCATCCATTGGGAGATACGCGGGGAGTTAAGGAATCGGGCTGTTTCAGACACACGGACAGTCTATTACGAACTTTGCTGGTGCCTGTATATTAAACCAAACCCTTAACTTTTTGTGCCCTAAACCTTACTCAAAACTCTAATCGGTTGCATGTTTGGCATCGGGGCAGAACTAATGACTGTACGAGAGGCTTTCTTTCGCCATCCGAGCTTGTTAACCTCTGGTGGACTAGCAGAAGCCTGCTTGCTACACGACAACCCGACAGGTCTGGATACATTGCAAAAGGCAGCGCTTTAGATCAGAGAATGGTAGGATTTCTTTCGGGGAGTTCCGTTCTTGAAATTGAAGGGCCGGGAAAGTAGTTTTTATTCAACACCCTAGGGCTCTATGTACCAGCATCGTATAGTCTTTGCTCGCCTAACGGCCTAACGGCAAAACCATATACTGTATGGGCACATGGACCCTGAGGGATATCGGTTGATAGAAACATGATCTTACATGAATGTCAGATCTTCCGACGCAGACGAATTTAGGACTTACCTAGCGCCTAGGGCTTTCTCCCGAAAAGCTCCTACGTAACTACACAATAGAAGTAGGCTTTCTGAATAAGGAAGTCATATTATTAAGGCCACAGCGCAGTGTAAGTACTCCCCTTGCAGGTCCTCGGGATACCTATGCTTCTACGTTTGGCTGGGCTGGTTCCAATTTTTGCGGTTCAGGGGTTTGAAGTGTACAGTTTGGGTTTCAGGGATTTTGCACTCCTGTTGCGCGCCAGGATTTCGCCACGGGCGCAGACATCACTTCTCAGGGCAATGTCATTGCCATCCGATCTTATGGCAACGTGCCTCGCCTGAGATTCAGGGCTCGGGTCTTGGGGTTTCCTAAAATCCAAAAGGCTACAACTCTTCTTAAGCTGTACGGAATTCCCAAAAATACCGTGAGCCACAAGCCAAAGTTCTGTTACTCCGGGCTGCACTACGCACTCGAACAGCTTCGTAGTGTCGAGCTACATATGCCAAATCCCGAGCCTGACATTCCCAAACTATCCCAAAGACTGTCAGCCCCGAACGGTAACAAAGGGCCCTTGATGTATGTAGAATACGGTTCGGGGTATTTTGCAGTACAAATCTAAACAGGCTAGGCATTATAGTTGTGAGGGATTTCTGGTATATTCTTCACTGTTCATCGATTTTGTCTTGGTTGGTACACAAGCGGTTGCAGATGATCCTGACTAGACTCCTTGAAGTTTAACAGGCCCTCCATTGAGTCGTTAAAGCCTTCCCCGAAAGCTCAAGCCGCAGGTTTAAAGCTTTCCACGTGGAACCTCAGGACGCTAAAAGGCCAACATCCTAGACACTCAAGGACAGAACCTAGAACCTAAACCCAGGAACTTGATGAGCCTAGGCTTCATAACTGACCCAGAAGAGGCCCTTATTCTATTTTTGTTTTTGGTTCGGGTTCCCTTATAACCCTCTTTCTACCAAAAAGGGCACCCTTGTCATTCCTAGGCTACTCTTATGTCTTAATTTCGGACCCGAGCCCGTAGCCACAGGTTCTGATGTGGCCTCGGCCCTGCCAGTGGACGATTGAAGACAGATTCTGGGACTGGGTTTAGGGCTTCGGGTTAAGGCCAGGAGGATCCTCATGGGGAAGGCTTTGGGGTTTTAGGGTTTAGGGTGCAGGGTTTAGGGGTTTTAGGGTTTAGGGTGCAGGGTTTAGGGGATTAGGGTTTAGGGTTCAGAGTTTAGGGGTTTAGGGTTCTAAGTACCTACATCCACATGGGGATACTTGCGCCAGTTAATGCAGTGACTTCAGAGATGAAGACATTATTTTCTATTCATGTACATGCTTCCTAGAGTTTGGGAGAGTAGTTGGGCTTGATGGTTCAAAAATAGCGTTCGGAACTGTCAACGTCACCTCTGCGTAGTATAGCCCTGCATCATGAGGCTATGATAATGTACAGCCCCCAAAAGGAATACGTCTAATCATCGACTCCCGATTATATTCGGGCTTATACTGTTGAGGGTTTGGTGTTGGATGCTTTGTGGGGACTCCTTCCTCGCAGACTTACACCAAAGTAGGGAGAACCACCTTCAAGTTTGGGTTTAGGGTTTAGGGATTAATGTCCACCTCAGCTGAGATTTTTCTTGACCTTCGAGCCTGCTCCTCCAATGCTAGCCCTCAAATGCAAAACCTATATATAGTCCTCAACGTGAATGCTCTCAACCGAATGCCTTGTAGTGGGGCCTTACGAGTTACCCGTAATATTTTGGGGGGCTCCTTATTATAATGGTAGTTATAATCACCCGCCCAAAGCCCGATTCTAATTATCAAGGCCCCTGAATTATATGCCGACAGATCGTATACCCTAAACCCTATATACACCCTAACACTGAAGCTTCCACCCTGGCCCTGCAAGCTTGAATCTAGCGGCGCACTCTGTGTTCTGGTTGTCTCCTCTCTCGCTTGACGGTTTCGTTTCCAGAGTTTTGGTTTGAGCTTAGGGTTTAGGGTTTGGGTTTAGGGTTTAGGGTTTACTTTTTTTCACCTTGTTAAAGTCCAGGCCGCAGTTTATTTGCCACTGGACTCCCACTACGAACCGCAGTGCCATCAGCAGCAGCTGCGTCGCGAGCAGAAACCGAGATATGATTCGACCTGCAGCCTTACACCACATCTTCAAGCCACATCCTTGTCCCTTATGTTCATAGTCCTTAGTCGGTTACAACAGGGGGTAATGCATTGTCCAGGTCTTCTAAAAACCCTGAACCCTAAAACATTCAAGCCTAGAAGACCAAAGCCTTACACCTTGAAAACCTAGCACCCAAACCCTGAAACCCTAAACCCTAAAGCCTAAACCCCTAAGCCCATAGATCCCTTATATTACCCTTATAAATCCCTTCAAAGGACCCTTACAACGCCTTAAACTCCTACACTTCCTTAACCCTGGCCTTCGGGTTCTAGCCCCCGCCCCCTCCCCCACCGCCTTCGCCACCGAACTCAGAGCCACGCGGAGTCGAGGCATGTCCCGGGACCCATGCTATGTGGACAAGAAGAACGAGAGGCCTGCATTTCGGGTTTAGGGCTTTAGGGGTTTTAGGGTTTGAGGGTTTATGGTTGAGGCTTTACAGGGTTTTAGGGTTTGAGGGTTTATGGTTTAGGGCTTTAGGGCTCTAGGGGTTCTAGGGTCTAGGTTTTTATGGTTTAGGGCTTTAGGGTTTGGGTTTTAGGGGTTTAGGGAATAGGGTTTTGGGCTTTGGGGCTTTCCGGGTTTACGGCTCAGGGTGTAAGGTTTAGGGAAGGGGGTCGAGCGTAGGGCGTGGACCCCTCATGAAGAACCCCCCACCCTTACCGACACTGAAATAGTCACACAAAAAGGCACATAAGCATAAGCTTTTTTATCGGGACATCGCTAAATTATTGCGCTTCATTATAACGGGGTTTATATGGGATATCCCCATCCTAACTTTTGCTTATGTGCTTTTTTGGTGCTCTATGAAAAGAAATATCCCTCGAACCCTAAGGCCCTCAAGGAAAGGATTAATCCATCGGGCCGAGGGATTTCAATATTTGTTGCGGGGATGGGGGTCAGCGGGCCGGGCCGAGATGGGTTTAGGTTGGGTACGGCCCTCACTCAGTAACAGTTGGATAATATTCATAATATATATATATATATATATATATATATATATATATATATATTAGGCCCTTAATAGTAGCCCTATTATAGACTGTTAGTGTATGGGGGCAGTATCCAAGGTTTAGGGTTTTGGGGTCAGGGGGTCTGGGCTTTAGGGTGCCGGGTTTAGGGCTTAGGGTTTTTATTGAGTTTTAGGGTTTAGGTTCGGCAACTGCAAGTTGATAGGAACAGATGCATGAGACGAGAGCCGATACTGATCGTCCAAGTTGCCTGCTCCTCAAGGCAGCCCAAAACGCCAAACCCCAAAGGGCTTTTAGTGGCTTCAGGGGTTTAGGGTTTTAGGGTTGAGGGTTTAGGGACAACTAGGATTTAGGGTTTGAGTTTAGGGTTCGGTTCAAGGTCGGGGGTCGAGGATAGCATACAGCTTAGCATACATAGCTTTGTGAGCTTCAGTAACAGCATCCCGTCAGAGTCCGTATATAACACCACGATGACAGACCCCAGAACCTGTATGAAGGCACCTTTATTAACGTGTTTGCAGCCTGAGCTCCCGAAGGCAGGGGGAGGCCATCGCGTGGCTTGCATCGCAGAAAGCTGGGTTTTCAGCTCGATCTTGTCGTGATCCCAACCTTAACCCCCCTCCCCCCCCACCCCCACAAACCTATTGTTTCAGGACTTGTATTAAGAGGCCCCGAAAAGGCAGGTCCTTTAGGGGGTCTCTGGGTTTGAAGGACTGGGATTGGTGCGCGTGTTTTTTTTTACCACGGTGGGAGTGAGGGAGTGAGAGTGTGTGTGTGTGTGTGTGTTTGTGTCTGTGTGTGTGTGTGTGTGTGTCTGTGTGTGTGTGTGTGTCTGTGAGTGTGTGTGTGTGTGTCTGTGTGTGCGGGGACATAATTAGTAAGCAGGTTGTAGTCGATTTTCGTTCGGATCGCATTAACTTCAACGGCCATAGTAATGATGGACAGAATCCGATATTGCCCACACTTAGGATCTCAGCAGGGAATGCAGGCTTTTCCCATCAGCCGTAAGACGATCTTGCCAACCACGCAGCTTGTTGTGTGAATTTGGCGTTTATGTGCATATTCACAAAGATTATGTCAGCATAAATGTAAATATACAAGTCTTAGTGTGTTTCCATATCATTGAAGTAGTTTTTTCATACCGGAGACTCCAGAGTCCGTATGCAGCCACATGCCTGAACTGATAGTAAGGATTCCTGCTTGGTTTATGCTGAGTCTGTGGATATATCTTGCTTAAAACCTAAGCCCCAATTCCAAAGCCCTAACCTTAAACCCTTAAGCACTAAGCCCTAAACCAAACCCTTGGGAAGGTCTGCTTGTCATTTCAGGTTCGGCAAAGATGGGGATCACTACATCACCATCTCCGAAGGTGCCTTCGGGTTTAGGGTTTGGGACTAGCCAGGAACCCCCCCAAGTGCCTTTTGATAGAGCCCGCATGGTCCTTAATAGTAGGAATTCAGTAGAGGGGGTGGTTGAGGGTCTAGGAAGTGTAGAGGGTTTACGATTCGGGGTTTATGTCGTTTTGCGGAAACCCGGACCCTTTTGGCTTTGGGATCCTTTTCAAGAACTCGTGTGGGAAGCCTTGCTGTGCATCCCATTTCGGAAGCTGGATCAGACGGGTTTCGCAGCCGTGTTTTACCGGGTTTAAGTCGATTTTGCAGGGCTTTTCAAGGCTTAGTACTGTAGCTGAGTGGATACACTTTACACTTCTTGGGATAATATATTATTACCCACTATAAAACTAAAAGTGTACACGTTTTGGGGCTTATGAAGTCAGCAACTAAGAAGGATCTGCAGGTCTTGAAGCGTTTTGTGGGGAGGTTTGGGTCAGGTTGAAGGGTGGAGGACCTTTGGGTGCGGGGTAATTATATACAGGATTGGCTGTAGATGTTTAGCTTCAAAGGGTTTTGGGATTTAGGGTTTAGGGTTTAGGGTTTTGGGTTTAGGGTTTAGGGTTTAGTTCAGGATAAAGGTGGCAAGTAAATCCTGGATCCGGAGGAGCAGAATGCTGGCACTTCAGACCCGAACCATCGAATCCCAAGCCCATCAACCTAGGATGCCCAGTAGTACCCTTATTCCCTTTTTGTAGTCCTAGGTTCCTTATAAAGTTACCCAATACCAAAAAGAGAGGCCTTTTTATTCTTAGGTTACTGGGTACCCTACCCTAAACCCTAAACCCTAAACCCCAAACCCTAACCCCTAAACCCCTAAACCCCTAACCCCCAGGGTATCCTAGCAACGGACCGAGAGGTAAGTACCAGCCGGTGTGGTGGTTTGCTATGACGCGCAAGTTTCAGCAGGCTCCCCTGGCGAACTTTGCTTCGGCTTTGGAGTTTATATCAGGGTTTAGGGTTTAGGGTTTAGGGGTTTAGGGTTTGGGGGTTTAGGGTTTAGGGTTTCGGGGTTTAGGGTTTAGGGTTTATATAAGTTTCGCCCAAAAGCTCTGGGCATCAAAATAGCACAAAAGCCTTGTATAGTATGGTCTTTGGGCCAAAAGCCTCAATACATAAGTCCTTGGAGCCCTAGGGAAGGCCCTAAGCCCGAAGACTTACCAGGACCCCCCAACTGCCCTTTAGTAGAGCCCTTGTGGTCCTTTATAGTCGGTATTTTGGGTTTTTAGAGGGTAGTTGGGGGCTCTAGGTAGTGTTTCGAATTCTGGCATTGGGGCTCAGGGCCTTCACTTAAGGCAGATGGGCACAGACACCCCTGTGCTTTCACTCTATACCCATAGGCCCCATAGTAGTTCCTTTTTGGGGTTCGTATTTAGAGTTCTATAAGGTAATCCCCAAAAAGGAACTACTATGGGGCCTTGTGGGCCTGTGCGTAGGTACAGCTTTCGGAGTTTAGGTTGCCCGAAGTTCTTGTCCACCCAAACACACTAGGGAAACTCTGATGCTTGACTCGTTGATCGCGGCAGTCCTTGAGATGTCTCAGGTACTTGGAGGATCATGGGACTAAGTAAGTAGAGTTATAAGTACCTTAATTGGGGTTATAAGTAATTATAAGTATAGTTACCTTAGTTATAACCCTAGTTACTCAGTCCCAAGACCCATTAAGTAGTGCTTCTGCGGTAAGGCTCTCTATTTTCTCTACAGCAATCGCGGAGTTGGCTTGTTTTCCGTGGAGGGCCGGCTTGCGGAACCCACATGGGTGGTTGTCAAAATTAGGGTCCCTTTTTGGATCCTTATTATAATACGGCACCTAATATTTAGGGTACCCAAAAAGGGACCATAATTTTGACAACCACCCACATTATAAGACCCTTTTGGGAGTTTTTTGGTACCTTATTGTAGGGTCCTTACAAATAAGGATCCTACTATTTAGGGGACTATATTAGGTTCCCATATTTTCGGAAAATCCCTTGTAGTAACCCTTCCAGAACCTTGAAGGAACCCTATTCCAAAGATTGACCTTGACGCTCTTGAACGTCGTTTGGGATTTTGGTGGACCGACCTAGCAAGGAACCCTCGTAGGATTGTGCATCTCATCATCGCTGCTTTGATGGTCTGGGGTTTTAGGGTTCAGGGTTTTGGGTGCTTGTTCTTCTTGCAATTAGCACTTTTATGACGTCTTGGGCTTATACACAGCGATATCTCTCGTTAGGTTGTGTGGTTGGGGGAAATGAACGGAACATGTGTCCCAGCGCTTGAACTATGATCACATACATGATTTGTGACACAGGCACAAACTATCGGCATGTATACACACCATGAGTCCCGATACATCCAGCACACTCCCTAAACCCTAGATCGCAGAAAACCCAAACCTTAAACCCCAAACTCACAACCCTAAACCCTAAATGCCCTAAATCTACTTACCCATGTGCCTAGCCAACCCTACACCCTACGTGTTCCGACCGTCTCTGTTGTAGCTCCTTTTGGGGGTTATCCTGCAGGTTCCTGAGTATAAAGTTGGTTAAACCACAAGAAACTACAATAAAGACTATAGGTAACGATCTCGCAAGGATTTAGAAGATTTGGATATAGTGGCGTTTAGCGTTGGAGGGGTTTAGAGCAATCAAGCTCAGAACCCAAAAACTCTAACAAGATCCAAAACGATCACTAACTAAAAGCGTAAACCTCAACCCTAAGTCGTTTCCGAAGCCCGCAACCCGAGACTCAACAAGAGAAGGAGATGATGTCTTCGGTGGCACTTCTGGACATCTCAGGTGCTTGAAGGGTCATGGGAGTTAGTAACTAGGGTTATAATTAAGGTAGCTTACACCTACAATTACTGATAACCCCAATTCACGTACCTGTAACCCTACTTACTAAGTCCCATGATCCTCCAAGTGACCATGCAGTATTTTTTGGGGATCAAAATAGCCCAAAAGCCTTATATAGTATGGGCTTCGGGCCCAAAAGCCTTAATATATGAGTCCTTAGACCCCTAGGGATTTAGCAGCAATTCTCAGGGCCTCTGGGAACCCAGGGTTTGGGTTGGGCTGTGGAGTTCTGGGGTTTTGGGTTTTGGGTTTAGGGTTTAGGGTTTAGGGGTTTAGGGTTTAGGGGTTTAGCGTTTAGGGGTTTAGGGTTTAGGGGTTTAGGGTTTAATAGTGGCTTGGGGTTTAGGGGTTTAGTGTGTGGCCTGGGGCAGTCGAATCAGAAATGGGGATACAGCTTTCCAGCGTACTTACATGCCTAGGTTTTTTTGTGCGTGTGCCTCTCAGTAGGATGTGCGTCGGGAAGGCCTCGTCACTGCTGCGGTCTTCCATTTGGGGTCGAAAGATCCTGCAAGATGGCTACTCTCCTAGGTCGTACTAGGGAGATCGCGTAAAGGGGCTCTTCTTAACCCTATACTTCTGGCTCTCTTAAGAGGGAGGGTCCCCTAATCCCAACTCCTTTACTCTGGGTCATTTCCCAGCTTCCAATATGCAAACGTGAAGATGCCTGGAACTTCTTATTCGAAGACTTCGACCAGAGTCGCAGAATCCCGGTTAACACCATTGTCAACAAGTGATCGATACCGTGAGCTCGTTCCAAGAAATGCAGGGAACTACATAGGTTACTCTGTAGGACTCAAGTTTCTCTAAGCCCGACTTAACGGGTCATGGGACTTAGTAACTAGGGTTATACTTAAGGCAACTGTGTAATTACTTATAGCCTTACCTACTAAGTCCCATGATCCTCCAAGTAAGGCTTAAGCCTAAGCCCTAAAAGCTAAACCCTAAAACCTAAACCTTAAACCCTAAACCCCAAAACCTAAAACCTACAGGACCCGGGCCAAAGGGCGCCCTGGTGCCTATCGAGCCTCGCATTGCCAACGTCTGCCCGGCCACCGGGGGAGCCGAATGGAAGGGCAAAGCCACTCGGTGAGCTTATCAAACAAGGATCTTATACTTTTGGGATTTTATCTTGGGGACCCACGATTCTGAGAGAACACCCAACTCTAAACTTCGAGCTGCTTGAAGCCTGCAACCCTATGCCTAGGGCCTCGGTTGCAGAGGCAGTCCTGGATCATGGGAAGCCTGACACCCTAAACTGCAGCTCCAAACATGAAGCCTTCCTGAACACGCAGTATAGAATTAGTGGTTTAAAGCCGAAATCTGTCCCCTGCGTTTTGCTGTTTTACTGCTTTCAAGACATCAAGGCAGCGGATACAGATCGGCTTTTTTTAACAGAAAACTTTCGCACCAGCACCTGACCACCCACAACAGAATATTTTAGTTGTTTATTGAAACCCATTATTTCGATATATGTGTGATATTCAAGTGCACAGAGAAGCAGCAGAGAGTGTTTTCTTTTTTGGGCGCACACATGTGTTCCCATGTTCTGTGTCGCTCACTCAACCCGAAAAAGCTTCACGATTTCGGTGAAAGCAGCGGTGGCGATGTTTCGCCGAACAAAATATTGGGGGTTCAGTGCCCTCAGAATTACTAACATTGTTTACTGACTTATACTGGTACAGATTGGAGTCTATATCCACCATTATAGGATTTCACTGCTCTCATTCGCAACATATGGTATCAATCTTCGTCTTACTGTCTAAAGTTTAGCTATGTCAGCTCTGTCATCAACATTCACGCCTATATATTTTCTGTATTACTTGTCACACGGTGAAATCGATAGGTTGATGTTGCGCTACATAACCACGATATAACTAGATCAATTAGGACTACATCATCTATCATATTAATCGTTCTGCCAATATTAACAGGTGTGGTGCTTTACTAATTAAGGTTTTTAACAGATATGCAGTTTAATACAATTGCATTTGATTCATATTCGGAGGTGATGCTATGTTCTATCAATATTTGATTTGGTTCTTTGGGAATCCAGGAGTCTATCCTTCCAGCATTTGGTAATCAATAGTTTAACTCTATAATCGGAGAATCTTAGCTATGAGGCTATGAGTTGTCTTTGTCTATTAGGCTAAATGAGCTTGGGCACATCATATGTTTACAGTCAGTATGGAACAGTGATACAAGAGCTATAACTTTACAGATTAATACATTGGCTATATTTTCATTACCAACTTGTTCGTTAAGATCATTTAGTGGGTATTCTACGTATCTGGACAAGTAGTGAATGTCTACTGATACTATTTTCACAACTAAAGTTATCTGTTGCATTGTATCTTTCATATAGTCTGTTCACAATAGGTGGTTCAAACAAGAGCTATAACTTTACAGATTAATACATTGGCAATATTTTCATTACCAACTTGCTCGTTCAGATCATTTGGTTGGTATTCTGCATATCTGGACAAGTATATAATAAATGTCTACTGTTACTATTTTCACAACTGGTGATATCTGTTACATTATATCTTTCATATAGTCTGTTCACAATAGGTGGTTCAACCGGTAATATACTTGGTAACGAGTGCTACTGGTATAGATGTTCATGACTCTTATTGTGTTGTTGCACTTTTTCATTATGTCTAATTATTAGTACAACCAATGCTACTCTATTAGGACTATTATATGTATTGTCAGGTGCAATGTTAAAACGACTTACTAACAATAGATGAACAGCTATAGGTATTGGCATGAATGGTTTAGCTTAGTTGTGTGTAGTAGTTAATACAAGTTAAGTTTTTTTAAGTTGTTCATGGTAGTTGTGTTCTAGTGATGTTATGTGAAGGTTTACACCATTACATCTCAGTGGTTTCTAATGTTTAAGCCTAGTAGAGTACAAGACTCAGGAGATCCCTCAATGTAGTGGTTGGAATAATACTAGTTCAGTTGGTTAGAGGTTGCACGTTAGTTTCATTCTTTATCTTTTCCAACCAAGATAATTTCAATAGGTATTGGGGAGGCCACCGGAAGCTCGTCATGAATCGCGACTGCTATGCAGATATGAGTCACCGGAAAATAGAACTAGGCTTGAGTACGGAACGCCACGAATCACAAACTGTATACGGCATGAGTGCCCTCCTCGTTCACGAAACTCGCTATGGCAAGATTTGTTTTGCTCTTCTGCGCTTTGAGAAGGCCACAACCCTGCAGGGCAACGCGGCTTACAATAGCAATGGTTTGTGGTATAAAACCAAAACCTTAGAACCAAAAAAACCAAAACCAAAAGAACCAAAAAAGCCAAAACCAAAAGAACCAAAAAAAACAAAAAAACTAATTTACTGAAAGTCTTCTGGAATGTTATTACCCAGGACTATACACCAAGACTTTCTGAATATTGTTTTTTTTTGGTTCTTTTTGTTTTTTTGGTTTTGTTTTTTTTTGGTTTTATGGTTTTGGTTTTCTGGGTTTTGTTGGTACTGCATTTTTTTGGTCTTCTGGTCTCGGTTTGTGTGCTTTTTTGGTTTTGGGCTATTGTCATTGAATGCAGTCTGCTGCTGTGGTTTTTCATGAACGAAGGTACAACAGTGAAAACGCATGGGCCAGTTTTCGGCCTCAAACCGAATTAGTATAATTCAGTATGATATAGTGTATGCAGTTTCAGTAATTTCATAGAGACTCCTACACTATGGTATGTTATAATCTACTGTATCATGCCACATGATATATCAAAAGATAATGCATTGAAGCCCACTGGACTCAGGCTTCACTCATCCTTAACCACAAAGTCACAAAGATGTGAATCTGCACATCTGTTACCCCAAGGGTCCAAGTGCGTAATTATCCCACACTCGCCCAAAACGTGACCTACATAACGACTATCCGAAACCTAAATACCTACCTAACGATCCTTTGGACCCTTGGGGTTAGATACGGGTTTATGGGGTGCCCAGGGGGGTTCACTAGTGTTTCTGCAGGTTTGGTGGCTTCTGCCATTGCCGACTCGGGTGGGACAAAAGAAATTTCATGGGGTTCACAGTCCTCGGCTTTGCAATTCTGAATCCTGGCTGCTAGGTAGCTGAGTCTGTAAACTGTAAACCTGTTGGGGTTTTAGAAGCTTGTATATAGCCGACAGTTGAATCAATACCCTAAAGCCTAAAGCCTAAATCCTAAGTTTTGCGCTTATGAAACGGGTCTAATGTCGAATAAGGGATGGATGCACCAAGGTAAACCAGCTGCAAAAAGGTATTATATCATAATTATATCTACCCGTCACTCTGACTCCTACTGTAGACTGTTACAGTGTGGGGGCAGATTGGGTTTTTGGGTTTAGGGCTGGAAATCGCAGTTCCTATCACAGGTGTGGTCGAGACAGATCAACGAGTGCTCTGGGTTGGCAGCCAGCAGATTGAAGGACGATGTGCCTGAATTGCATCCTCAGACAACTGCTGGTAGTTGCGAAGGGTTTTTGTTGCGGTTTATGAGAGATTGGTCCTTGTTTCTTGCCTGTTTTTGTCAGGATTGGGGGGCTCAAGCTATGGTCTTTGGCACGGAAACTAGAACGTTCCTCTTTTCAGTGTCTCCTGTTGGCCTAGAATCCTGACGGTACTCTTAACAGATTGTTTTGTGTATTCTGGGCTGGGTTGCGCAGCAGCACAACCCTGTTTCAGGCCTACTTAATGGATCGTAGACCAAGGATGTAGGGGTTCGGGTTTAGGGGTTTAGGGTTTTTACGGTTTAGTGGCTATTGTAGATTTGGACCAGTCCTCTGCCCACGGTATTGCAACCACGTCATCTACTTTCCGCAGAAGCCTAGCCTCCTTTGGAAGATCTGGGAACAGTCGGGGAGCATAGCTGCCCTCCTAGCGCCCAGATGCATAACTAGAACCCAGGGTAAGCCCTTATTCCCTTTTTTAGGGTTCAGTTTCCATTATAGCACCCTTTATACCAACAAGGGCACCCTTTTTATTCCTAGGTTACTCTTAGGTCTAGATAATCCTTTCGCCATTCGCGTGAAAGTGATTCCTGAGTCGAGTACTGGGGCCGCTACCCTGCCGGTAAGCCAAAGCTTAACCCCAAGTATCCTACCTTTCAAGGACTTATATAAAGAAATCATATTAGGAAGCCCCAAAAAGGCAGGTTGTTTAGGGTCCAGGAAAGCTTTCTAGCAATCCTTCGACCCTTAGACTCTGAAGCCCTAAACCCGAAGCCCTACTTGAGGGTTCGCTTTCGGGGAGTCGTCTTGCAAAGCAATATTTCTTGACGCGCAGACGCTTTTCCGATACGATTGTTTTAAACGGAGCCTGTAGATAGGGCTTCAGGTTAGCAGATTCTTGGTCCGTTGCACTTCTATGTCATTACGTGCATTCCCACGCGATGCTTTGCAGCTTTCCTCTTCCCACTCTATGCGCGACGAGATCGGGCAGGTCAGGCAAACACCCCCAGACTTTCCCAAAGCCTAAGCCTTAAGTCCAAACCCCTTTAAGCCTGAACCGGTACCGGGAGCAAACAGCTGAGAGACAGGCAGAAGTCTCGCAGTAGCACGAGGAAACCATCCCAATGAATTCATCCCAAGTACTCCATGCCATCGAATCAAAGCTGAAGCCCCGTATCTTCTTCAACCGTTTACCTTAACCCCCAAGCCCCAGATTGCAGAAAGCTGAGGTCTATTGGATTAACAACGACTCTGGAGATAGGTTCCGTGGCAGTTGAGAGTTAGCGTTCGCACCCTCACAGACCCGAATCTAAAACTGCAACGAAGTCATCCCTACACCCCGAAACCCTAAACCCCAAACTCCCTGAAAGCCAAAATGTCAACCCTCGAACTCTGTACTCTAAACCCTGAAGGCTTCAAACTCTAAATCCTAAACCCGAAAACCCAAGTTCCAACCCTTAATGAATACCAAACCCCGGAAAACTGCAACCCTAGATTTCTTGGGTTGGTCCACCACATGTGTTTTTGGTCTTTCGGTGGAGCAAGTGGGGTCACGTTCATAGGGTTTAGGGTTCACTATGATTTAGGGCTAAGTGAAAGGGGGTAGGGTTTAGGGCTTGGTGTTTTGGGGTTTAGGGGTATGGCGTTGAGGGTTTTCCGTTCAGGGTTTAGTCTTCGTTTGCCACATGGGGACGGCACAGTCACCCTAAGGGTCCATGTACCCGACTAGTATATACTTAGGCCCCAACGTACCTGTATAGGGAGTACTTTAAGCCCAAAGCATGTACTGTTTGGGTACATGGACCCTTATACCCCAAACCCTGTTGAGCACTTAGGAACCCTTATAGTATCCCTCTAAAGGAACCCTTAAAGGATCCCTATTCGGGAACATGGACCCTTAGGGTCACCGAGCCCAAACGTTTCGCCTTGGTAGGCCCGGAAGCCCGGAATCCCACAGCATGCTTGCCTTGTAGCAAGCCCCAAAAGGTGCACATATAAGGGCTCTACAACAAGGGGATCCCCAAAGGATTCCATGAGGGGATTCTATAGAGGTTTAGGGTTTGTGGCGGTTTTCAGTAGACCCCAAAAAGTTGGAAACCGGGTCAAGGCCAAACAGTGCTGGGATTCCCTATACCTTACTCTTAAGGATTGAGGCTATTGGATTTCCAACTTTTAGGCTTCTACTGTATAATAGCGTCTGGATACATCGGGACTTTCCCGGAGGAGCTTTGACCCTAATCCGAAGGGTCCAGACCCTGGAACCCGACGTCGCACGGTGAACCCACACTTTTGGATGCTAACGTGGGGTCTTGCCAAGGCCGAGGCTCTATGCCATCAACTTGAGGGGGGACCACTTGGCGCGGATCAAGGCGGCCGACTGCGCGAAACATGAGCATGTAAACCTGCCAAGACATAAGTACACACAATGCTGGCACCCTTTTCCGCGATGGCTCGTAGGTCCATCTATAGTGTACATGTCAACCCTGCCTAAACCCGAAACCCTACCACCCCTAAACCCCTCAACCCATGAGCCCAAGCTCCACACACCAGAACAAGTACATACCAGGGCTAGCTTGACAGTTCCCAAAGGGTAACCCTAAACAGTGATCCCATAGCCAAGGGTCAAAGATGCTTTGGCGGTTGCCCACCATAAGGTCTGGCTGTCGACGCGCAAAATCATAGTAGCGGATTGAGCACCCTTTGCCGTTTTTTTCGTGATAACAACAATCCCTTCCAGAACTGAAAGTGAACTTTTTGGGGCGTACTATGAACTCAGCAGCTAGCAGTTCATATGTTCCACCAAACACCAATCTGCAGTGCGTGTTATTTGGCCTACACCGCAAAGATTCTTGGTTGAGAGAATTTTATTTTCGGCGGTTTCGGCCTCAGCATACAAGTGGGGAGCTTCATGTACAGTAGAAGGCAGAGAGTTGGAACATCATAATCCTCGTGCCCTGACAGTAATAATTAATAGCTTAGGGATCTATAAACCCTGAACCCTAATTCCTAAAGCCCTAAAGGCTTCAGGATTCAATGTTTGGATGGCCTTCAGTCGAAACTCCAGGTCGTGAACGTGGATTGGGCCAATGACTGGGAGGACACTGCTGATGCTCTGCATTCCAAGTGGGTTTAGGGTTTAAAATCTCTTGGGGTTTGGGCTTTAGAGATTAACGGGGGTCTAAAGCCTGAAAGGCTAAACACGAAATTAGGGGCCCTCATGAGGAACATAACCACAAGGATTTTGCAGGGTTGCCGCCACCTTCAGAGTGCTTCATGATTGGGGGGTTGTATAGGGGGTATCGCTATCCTAGTTTTTTGCTTGTGTGGTTTTTCTGGAAAGGGGGAGGCACTAGAGAAGCCTTAACTCAACCTGCACAGCCTCGCTCATTGGCCCGCGGCCTTCTCCGGTTACCGGAAGGTTGGTGTCCTGAGGACAACATCTTGGACAAGCCCAACAACTTCTGAACATTGAATTGTACAGACTGGAGATGTATCAGTGAATCCACGGCACCACTCGAAACTACGTCCACCCCGACGGCATTCACAACAAACGAGCCTCCAACGGAAACCGTGCCATTTACAGCACATGTCGTTTATGTTGGTTGTTGGCGAAGATGAATCTAGGGGGCGTTTTAGAACTTGAACCCCTAACTCAGAACCCCAAGGGTCTGGGGTTCTGAGGACCCAATAATTAGGTACTCGGGTTTAGGATAGTAGTTATGTAGGTTAGGATTTTGGAGAGTATATGATTATTAGGTTTTTGGACCCTTGGGGAACACACTCTGAATCCTGCACCGACGCAGGTCCGACTCGTGCATGTGAGCCCTACCCATAGGCCCCATGTGCGGTAATCCCAAAAAGGAAAAAGGGTCCTGGGTACTGTTATGGGGGATACTTCCCCGAGTAATTCTAGTAGTTCCCAAACATGGAAGCCCTACATATTACGATGCACAGGAAGTTGCAACTGGTCATGCATAGAAATGAAGATTCAATCAGAATCCTCTGAGGCACTGGCACCTCTCCATTCGCAAGGCCGCTTAAACTCCAAAAGCCGCCTTCCCCAAAGGGTCCAAAGTACCGATACAGTAGAATGTAGGGTTTCTATATTAGGAATTACTATTATGATTTGAGGAAGTATTCCTAAAACCTTCTCGGACGCCTCACAAGGTGGGATGAAGGTAGGTAGGATGGAGGATCCCTGATATTAGGACTCTTCTTCGGGAATATCCCACCTGCCTTCATCCCACCTTTTGAGGCCTCCGACCTTCAGCCCCGAGCCCGATAACCCTTCACCCTCGAACATAGAACAGTTGTCAACCTTAAACCCTCAGCCCAGACCCTCAACTCCAAACTCCCTGAACCCCGTAACCCTACATACTAAACCCTAAACCCCTAAACCCCTAAACCCCTAACCCCTAAACCCTAAACCCTGAACCCCGAAATTCCCAATCATCCGGGGGGTTTCCGGAAAGGACGTTGCCATGGGGCCAGGCCCTGAACAGGGCAGCTACATCTACGTGGCGGTGCCCGGATTGAAACCTATGAGTTTGAGATTCGGGCTTAGGGTTCATAGGGTGCAGGGTTTAAAGTTTATGGTTTAGGGCTTAGAGTTTAGGGCTTTGGGTTTAGGTTTAGGGTTTAGGGCTTAGGGTTGAAGGTAACCTGCAGTATTCGTGCACGCAGTGTGTGTGTGTGTGTGTGTGTGCGTGTAGACCACTCTTTCAGTCTAGGGTGTATAGTGTATGCCTTTGGGATTTCGGGTTGCAGTGCTGTGGGTTATGATTTTGTACTTTCAGGGTTTGTGGTGTAGGCTCTTCTCCACAATGGGCCCAATTATCTGGAAACCTTCCCTCATGAATTCAACCAGGTGGTTGCCGTTTGCATAAGTAAAGCTCGGTAGAACTCCAAGCGCCCATACGGTTGATGATATAAATCCTGCATTACCTTAATGACGCTAGACAATGGGACTTATGCTATATATATATATATATATATTACTCATTATGGGTAATGCAGGAACTGTATCATCAACCGTAGGCCTTGCATGGCAGCAGAGGCTCCTCAAGCTCTTGTATACATTCAACCGTCAACACAATCCTAGCCGGTTTAGGGTTTAGGGTTTAGGGTCCTAGCAACTCAGGACACCGGCGACAACTACCGCAATCGCGGGTCGGTGCAGATCTATCGGTTCAAGGCTTGAGGGTTTGGGGCTGGGGCTTTTCGCTACGGGTTTGCAGTGTAGGGTTAAGGTTTGTAGCGCCTCAGGATTTAGGATGCAAGGTAGAGGAGTTCTGATCAGGTGGGGAGGGTGCCATGTTTGGAGACAACAGCGGCTCATATGGTGTTTATGGTGTCCTTGTAATTTTGTTTGATTGCAATTTGATTTTTCGTCGCGCTTCGAGTTCACGGTACTTGGTTTAAGGACCCCGGCTACGAGTCGCAGCTGCGAATTGTCTTGTAGACTTGTTTGGGTCACCGTAAACCCAGCTTACCTTTCCGAATGCTTGCAAAGTAAGTGTGTTTCTGTTTCGGGCTTGGTTCTTAGAGCTACAGCAGCAGGAGTCCCGTGGCCACCAAAACAATGACACCACTGCGAAGTCCATGGTAGGTCCGAAACTTAACTTGGCGTTCTTCTGGTTGGCTCTTTAGACTTTAACTTTTTGGGTTTCTATATGAACTACAAAAAGGAGGCTAAAAGTTTTGTTTTTAGGAGGGGTTCAGAAGTCAGCCAAGTTAAGTTTCCCGATTTCTGAACTTCAAAACCCTGGCCCCGACAGCGACAAATCTGCATTTGGGTGGTTGTCAAAATTAAGGCCCCTTTTGATATTAGGTGCCGTATTATATCAGGGACCCAAAAAGGGACCCTAATTTTGACAACCACCCATATACAGCCTTTATAGAACACAAATATTGACTATTATTTAGGGAACCCAAAGAGGGACCCTAATTTTAACAACCATCCATTTCCAGACACGATGCACTACAAGTCAAAGCTTGAAGCCGGACTCCTGAAGATTCTGAACCCTCGCACCCCCAAGGTTCCTTTAAGGGGTCCTTTAATGGAGTCTCTAGGGGTCGAGAGTAGGGTTCTAAATTCGAGGCCTTAGTAATTAGAATAGGGTTTTGGGGCACCGCAAACAGAAAGCCCGAAACCCAAACCCCAAGCCCAGAGCGAAAATCGAATGCAGCAGGAGCCACCCATCCCAGACAATCGCAATCGCAACGACGATATCGAGGCCGGTGCTTTCCGAAAGGGGAGTTTAGGGGGTTTAGGGATTTGCAGTTACAGGGTTCTATAGCGGTTTAGGATTTTACTTGTTTAAGGATTTTGGGTTTAGTGGTTTAGGGTTCTGCGGTTTAGGGGTTTCGGGGCTAGGGGCTTAGGGTTTAGGGGTTTAACGGTTTAGGAGGTTAGGGTTAAGGTTTTATAGAGGTTCAGGGTTTAGGTGTTTCAGAAAGGCGAGTTTGAGGATTTCGAGCTTCAGGGCTTTAAGCAGGGATTTGGGGAATGTACGGTTTGAGACGTGCAGGGTTTAGTTGTCAGGAGATGTAAACCTCCTGAATCTTAAACCCCCCACGCCTCAAAAAGCAGCAGCTCAACTGCGCTGTTGCTGGAGAAAGGTGGCTGCGAAGGGTTCAAGATGCAGGCGGAGCAATTTGTTTACTATGGGTGTAGGCAGTTACGTGCTTCGATTGACTCTTACGCGTCGCTTTGGCAGTCTTCCGAATGATATCCTTTCTCGCGACAGCACTGACATCTGTCGTTTCCAATTTGCAACTCTAGTCAGCCTTCCATTCCGATTAACCCTTACACCCCGAACCTCTGCCTGACGAATACTGCTACAGAGCGAGTCTTTTCCTGAATGTTCTTGTATTGAGCTGCCGTCATCTGCAGTGGTAGCAGTGTCCTGAAAAGCCATCAAAAAGTAAGGCCACTTGGCCTCCTGAACCCTGAAGCTGTAGAGTGAGTCAACCCATGGAGCAGTCTCCAGCTGTCGGCGAACAAGTTTTTACGTAGTGGCACGATTGGTGGCATCGGTCAACGATCCACGTTGTCTTTCCAGGAGAAGTTCGCAAGCACCAAAATGATGTTGGAGGATTTAGAGTTTAGGGGGAGATGGGAAGGGTTCTTCTGGGTCAGTATCGTTCCTTCGTTCAGGCGATACGGTTGATGATTATACATCCTGCATTACCCATGATAAGGAACACAATATACCATTACCATTATTCCCATAGTTTAGGGTCATTAAGGTAATGCTGGCTTTATATCATCAACCGTATGAATCCTCTAGCTTGCCAGCAGGTGGACCCTTAGCGAGGAAGGCAAAACTTTATACGTCCACGGAAGTCAGTTCTAAACCCTACGCCCTGAAACAGCGGATCTGTTGGAAAAAAGGAGACCACCCCTCAAAACAAAGAAACAGTGAAAACATACCTCCCGCCAAACTCCGGAGAGTTATTCTGAGAGTAATCTAACTCTCCAACGCTTCAAGGTGCATGTACAGTATTTACTTAGGCCCAAAGAAGTGCCCATTTTAGGGTTTAGGGCATAGAATATGGGTACTTTAATTTACGGAATAGGGGTTCCGAAAATAAGGGACCGTAATAGAGTACCCTATATATATATATATATATATATATATATAGAGAGGGTTTCGGAACGAACCGGGGCAAGGACCTCGGTATAGCCGGCAAACCCCAGTGCCACTTGTGTAGGCACGTCCCACCTGAGCCATCGGACTCCGTCGTGGGCCATCTTCCCCTGCCTGGCACCGTCGTGCTAGAGCAGTTCGCTCAAGGGCCCGCAGGGCGATCTGGGCAGCCCGGGCTTCTTCTAAGAGGCCTTCGGCCAGGGCTCTGGCACTTCTGAGTGCCCACCACAGTCGGCCGTGCTACAAGGAACTGCAGATGGGCCGTGGGAAGACGCAATGGCCGGAGTGGAAGGACAAAGAGGACTACCACGATGGTTGGTCCTCTTCCACTTGGTCCAAGCATGGATGGTCCAAGGATGGTGGCAAGGCCAAGCAGGCTGGAAAGGGAAAGGACAAGAATGGGGCCGGGAGCTCGAGGGAGGAGCCGGCCTTCCCTTCCTTCGAGGCCATGGTGGTTCCGAGCCAGGATCGCAAAGAACATGGCGGCCGCTCGACCACGGCATCCTCGTCGACCGCCAAGCCTACGGCTGCCGACCTCGTGCAGGGCACCCAGAAGCTGGTGAACCAGTTGCGGAAGGCAGAGTCGAAGGTACGGCGTGGCGAGGAAGAGTTGGTTCACATCAACGAGCAATGGCGGCTCTTCCAGGAGAAGCTCAAGAAGGCCTTCCTGAAGGAAAGGGGACGCTACATGGAGCTGGTCCGGAAGAACAAGGAGGAGCAGGAGGAGAACCTGGCATGCCAGGAGAGTGCCCTCGCCGCCCTCCAGGACGTCCTCAATGGTGGAGTGCTCCAGAAGCCCGCGAAGCAGGAGTTGCCGACGCCGGAGGAAGAGCATGCTTGGGCGCTGATCATGGCCGAAGAGGAGACGCCCGACGAGGACATGGGCATTGCAGGTCTGCTGACGGGCGCCCTGAATGGACAGGGCGAGATCCGCAAGTCGGCAAGGCAGAAGATGCTGCAGGCCATCGCTGCTCGAAGGGAGGCCCTACGACGAGACCATGGACCAGTGACCCCGCCGAGCAAGGGTACGAGAGCCCCGGCTATGTCCCCACCTGCGGCGGAACGGCCAGTGGCGAGCGATGGTGGAATGGCCACGCCAGCTGGTGGAGAGACGGCTGCCACGTACAGTGGGGATGGGCAGCTGATGAAGGACCCCTATCTGACCTCCCCGTCGGCTATGAGGGCGCCGACACCGACGACGAGGCAGCGGTCACGTTCGCATGCAAACGGACCACGGGTCAGTGTCAAATCCCACCTGACCCTGAAGCCAGGGACACTGGCCAAGAAGCTCGCCGAGAGGCGAGAGGCAGCAGCTCGGGCTGGTGCCAGAGCTGTCATCAATGTGGAAGAGGCCGAGGACGAAGAGAACGACCTGATTGCGGACCTCGGGGCCAAGGAGGACGACCTCGACGAGGAGTGACCTGTGATGGCCAGGTGGAGGTTGTCAGAGGTGGCGATGGCTTTTTCGGTCAGTCTGTCGCCATCCAAGCTATGAACGCAGGTGGAGGCCCTTGGCCTGCCTGCCTTGGCATGCAGTCCTCTTTTATGACGGCTGCACACAGTTTTGGAGGTGTACGGTGGTGTGCGGGGATCACTGCTGTACTGGATGCTAGCGGTGCTGCTGAAGCCCGGCACGGCCCTTCGGGAGGCCACGACCGAGGCGACGCAGCTGACCCCACCGATGTTTTGGGCCCTCAAGGAGGGAGTGAAAGGAGGCTACAATCAAGGAGATGCTTTGACCTTCTTGATTACCTCCAATGGACGTATGAGCAGGCCGACGAGATTCTCTATGGTCTGCACAACGACTTGGCCCGGATTTGCCGGGGCTTTGGGGTCACCCTTCTCTGGATCAGCCTCGTGGGGCTAATTGCTCTGTGCCGCTCGGGCATGAAAGGCCGGCGAGGTCGCTCTGCCTATGCCCGCTACGGAATGGTGTGGGGAGCCGCGCTGGCTCTGAAAGGTGCGGCTGCTATGCCGAGCCAGCCAAGGCCCATGCTAGCCTCGGGAGTGCCGAGGCCCACTGATCTCGAGCTGTGGGCGGCTGGGCTCTTGACCCCACATGAGCAGCTGCTAGAGGCAGAAGCACAATGGGCCCTTGGGAGACCGCTCGAACATGGAGCTGGTGAAGCACGGCTGCCCACCTATGCGATACCCGCAGAAGAGACCATCCCTGACTTTGCGGCGGTGGATATAGCGAGGGTGCATGCTACCTGCTGGATTGCCACCCCCTTTTACGAGGCCGAGATTGTCGATCTCGAGCTCCACTTCCCGACAACGGTCGACAGGATCACCCAGGCGGTCCGAGATTCTACCAGGGAGCTCCCGGACTACGCCGATGATGTTTTCCCCACTGTTCCACAGCTAGGGAGCTTCTATGCGAGTTTTGTGGCTGTGCCGAGGTGGGTGAGAGAAACTGACAAAGTGGTTCAGGTTGTGGACGCTACGGATGTCGGTGGCGGGATCTTTGCGGCATACCTGGACAAGCCGGTGACCAGGCAGTCGGTCCTGCTCAACATGATTGAAGAGTGGCCTGAGGGATTTAGAGCGTTTTCCTACGGTGGGGACCGCCCGTGGAGAAGCAACCTGGAGTACGTCCCCGTGCAGGGAGGAGTCCTCAAGATTGTGCGCCCTGGTGGTGCACCGAGATGGGCTGATGAGCTCCACGTCCGGACAGGGGACCCTACCCGCTGGAATCCGGACGTGCCACTTCCCGCTCCGGTTGCGGGCCTCCACACGGTTTACCAATCGGCGGACGACCAAGTGTTGGAGGAAATAGCCTCGGACGATGAACGTCCTCTGGAGGTGGCGGCCGAGGAAGCCCTTAACTACGAGCACGGCGAGGTCTGGATCGTGACACCGACCGAGAGGATTGGCCAACTCTCGCACCGAGGACGCCGGGTCTGGGGCCAAATTGCGGTTCTGGATGGTGTCGAACAGCACACCCCCAACGAGCCAGTGATCTTCACAGACCTTCGAGGGCTTGGTCTTTTTCCACAGTGGACACAGCTCAGTGGCTCCACTTTCAGGCCCCTCGACTACTATGACACCCTCGGCATGCCGGACCTTGCTGGATGGGCTGTGATGGTCGAAGGAGGAGAACCTCACGCTGACGGGGCCACCATCACGGTGCAGCCTGGTGAGGTGTTGGCCTTCCACCTCAAGAAGGATGAGGCAGACAGCGATGAGGACATGCCGGGGGACGATGGAGATGGTGACTCCTCTGGCTCCGGTACGGATGACTCCTCGGATGGCACGGATGCCCTGCCGGACTCTAGTGAGATGGGGTCTCCACATCAGCCGGTGCCAGGAGAACCACCCAGAGGGCCGCCGAGACCAGAGCCGGTGAACCGGCCACGAAGCCGATCCCCCAGGAGGCGGGCTTTTGATCCCGGTGCGATGGGGCCGGCACTTGAGCTGGCCAACATGCTGCCACCGCCTACTTTTGACTTGGGGCTCCAGTCTGTGCAGCTCCCCCTGGCGCAGGAGGATCTACAACAATGCATGGGGTGGGTGTGGGATACAGAATGGATGGCCCCACTCCCTTCCTCTTTGGAGTACAAGCCTCCTACAGTTGAGGCCCTGCGCGACATGAAGCACTGGAGTGATGTCCTCCTCAATGATGCTGGGCCTGCTGAGGTGGAGGTGCACCTTTACTCGGATGGCTCCTGGCTTGCAGAACAGAGCCTTGGTGGTTACGCTGTGGCCGTCATAGTTGCAGTTGCCGGGGCCCAGGCCTTAATGGGTGCTTGGGGAGAGCGCACCCATGGAGGAGCGGACACTACTTGGGATGCTGACACCCCTCCGGCTCTCCACAACGAGCAGGTCGCTCTGGCGACTGGCCTTCTGTGGATCTTACAGAGCCGTGCTTTCCTCGCTGCGGGCCGCTATGTCCTGCACTATGACTGCATGGTTGCGGGCAAGGCCGTTGACGGAGCATGGAAGACGGTGAATGACCTGGGTGAGCGTAGCAGGTTGCTTGAGATGTATTTGCAGGAGATCATCAGAGCACCTATTGAGGCGGTGCATGTGAAAGCCCACCGGGGTGACCCCCTCAATGAGCTTGTGGATGTGTTGTCCAAGGAGGTTGCAGCGGGACATGTCTCACTACCCGCACCTCCCCGAGAGAACTGCTCCTGTTTCCTGGGCGCGGATATGTCTTGGCTGGCAACTGCCCACCATGCAAGGGCCTGCGGCACCCTGCCCATTGATCCGCAGGGGCGACTGTGTTGGTCCAATGCAGAGCCGGCAGAGCCATCGTGTGTGCAGCCCGGAGACATCATCCCCGTCAAGATGGACGCAGCGAAGGCTGGGGAATGCAAGACTGCTTTCGAGCTCAAGGCCTTCTCCCTGAATGCGCAGAGCCTGCGGGGCAAACACAAGTACTTTGAGAGCCAGCTGATGGAGGCTGGCTGCCACGTGGCCCTATTCCAGGAGGCCAAGGGCCAAGCAGGTGTGTGTGAGAGCAAGAACTTTCTCAGGTTTTCCACACAAGGCTGCTCTCACTGGGGTGTTTCAATCTGGATCAACAAGGCCCTTGGCATATGTTGCCATGCTGGGAAGCCTTATGTGATCTCAGAAGATGACGTGAGGGTCATCGAGGAAAGCCCTAGGCTGCTGGTTCTTGCAGTGGACCTCGGCGGCCGCACAATACTCTTAGTGTCGGGGCATGCTCCCCACGCTACCAGAGCAGAGGAAGCCGCGGACTTCTTTGAGATGCTATGGAGGGGTCTGCGGCCCTACGCCAAAGCCAGCTTGATCGTGATGGGGGTGGACTTGAATGGGCGCATCCCCCTTGATGTCCCAGGCATCACCGGGACGAGGAGGTGTGGGGACCCGGACAAGATCGGCGAAGCGATGCTGGCTGTGGCTCGAAAGGGCCATTTGTGGTTTCCGTCTACCTTTGACGTCTTCCACGAAGGGACGGATATCACTTACAGGATGGCCGGGCGCGAAGGTGGCAGTGAGCATAGGATCGACTATCTCATCTTAGGAGGTGTTGCTGCCATCCAGGAGATCCGCAGCTGGGTGGCCGAGGACTACGACACCATGGCACCCAACGAGGATCACGAGGCCGTCATGATTGACTTTGCAGGTTTGCTGGATGGGGAGCCCTGCCGGTCAAGGATCTGGCGGCCGAAGTATGACGTTGACAAGCTCCTGACCCCCGACGGCAGGCGCGTTGTGGAGGCTGCGATGTGGGAATATGCCCCGCCTGCTTGGACAGTCCACCCCACGGACCACTACGAGCATTTTCGGCAGTTTGTGCACAGGCTGCTGGAGGCACACTTCGCGCTTCCGGTTGACAAGCCCAGGTCTGACTACATCTCCGATAAGGTTTGGATGCTCAGGAAGGCCAAGATCCAGCTTAAGCAGCGGGCCAGACACCGGAAAGGGCTCTGGAGGGATGTGGCTGATCGAGCCTTCCTCCAGTGGGCGACTGGAGCGGATTACTCGGTTGCTCTCCTTGTCGAGCGCCACGCCCTCCTCTACGAGCTGGTGGCGGCCGCGGTCCAGTTTGCCACTGCAAGGATCAAGAAGGGCGTCTCCCAGGATAAGGCCAGATACTTGAGAGACCTGGCCCTCTCTTCCGGGGACGCGTTCCAGGATGTGGTCAAGGCAGCCAAAAAGGCTGGTGTTGGAGGGCGAACGGCCCGCACCCCATGGCGGCCGATGCCGGCCCTCAAGGACGCCCGTGGTTGTGTCGCGGCCACGCGTGCGGACAAGGACAAAGTCTGGTTGGCGCACTTTGGAGCACAGGAGTGTGGAAAGGTGGTGCCGACTACAGAGCTCATTGCCGGGGATACTCTGACCATCTCCACTGAGGAAGACTGGGAGTGGCATCACAGCGATCTTCCTACAATCCTGGAACTGGAGACAGCAATGAGGCGAGCACCACGCAAGAAAGCTGTAGGCCTGGACGGGGTCCCTGGCGAGCTGCTGCTCTCCTGTCCGCCGGCGGTAGCTCGAGCGCTGTATGCGCTTGTGGCCAAGACCACAATGAAGATGTGCCAGCCACTGCACTGGCGAGGAGGCATCTTGCAGGAAATGTGGAAGAGAACGGGGTCAATTTCCAATGTGGAGAGCTACCGTTCGTTGTATATTTCTTCGCTCCCAGCCAAGTGCTTTCACCGCCTTCTACGGGATCGTGCAGGACCGTGGGTCGAGACAGCCCTTCACCCTTTCCAGATGGGGGCGAGGAAGTGTGCGCCAGTGCTATTGCCTGCGCTTTACATCCAGGCTTTCTTGCGCTGGGCCAAGGGACTCCACCACAGCGTCGCGATCATCTTTGTGGACTTCCAGAGTGCCTACTACCGTGTGATCCGCGAGCTAGCAGTTGGTGGCATTGAGCCGGAGAGCGACGAGGCTGTGGCACGAGTCTTTCAGACCTTCGGCCTCCCCCCAGAGGACACCCACCTGCTCTACCTCACGGTCAAGGATGGGGGCATGATGGGAGATGCAGGAGCTCCGCCGGGGCTACGTCACCTGGCCAAGGATATGATGTTCCGTTCCTGGTTCGTCACGCGACATGGCAGTGGAGAACAGGTTAACGTGACAAGGGCTGGTTCCCGCCCAGGGTCCAGCTGGGCCGACATCATTTATGCCTTTGTGCTGGGAAGGCTCCTGGCTATGCTGCATGAGCATGCCGTTGCGGAGGACCTCCTAACAACTTTCCCGGTCAATGTGGAGTATGGCCCCTTGGGCCCCCCCACAGGTGGGCCGGAAGTGGAAGCCAGGGACAGTGTGTGGGCTGACGATTGCTCTCTGCCCATTAGCGACCCATGTCCCAGGAGGTTGCTCGCTAAGGCCGGAGGATCGGAGAGTTGCTGGTGGAGTTTTCCCTGGGGCATGGGATGCTCCCCAACCTGCGACCCAAAAAGACGGCGGTCATCTTGGCCCTTCGGGGCAAGGGTGCCCAACAGGTCCGGCGTGAGAACTTTACGCGAGGACGAAGTGCTATCCCCTTGCCGGAGCTTGGCCTTGAGGTCCAGGTTGCTCCTTCCTATGTGCACCTGGGTGGCCTTGTGGAGCCAGAGATGCGGATGATGGCGGAGGCCAGGAGACGATTGGGGATAGCGCAGGCTGCCTTTGATGCTGGCAAGGCGCTGCTGTACTGCAATGGCACCATTCCCCTGGACGTCAGAGCCTCCCTTTTTCGAATGTCCGTCACCGGGACGTGCTTCAACCTGGCCCTGTGGGTGCCCAAGGGCAAAGGCTGGGAGCTACTCCAGAGTGGGTTCACCCGTATCCTGAAAGGGCTCTTGTCGCGTGCCTACAAGGGTGATGCCTACTACAAGTTGGCGGCACCCGCGGTTCACATCCTCACCGGCACGCCGTGTTTGGCGACACAGGCAAGGCGGGCCAGGATCAGCCTGCTTATTTCCATGTGTCGGACAGCCCCTCCGGTCCTGTGGGCTGTGCTCCAACATGAAAGGGAATGGCTGGACACAGTGAAAGGCGATCTCGAGTGGCTGCGGGGGTCGTCAGATGAATGGCCGGGCATGGGCAGTGCCCACTGGCCTGAATGGCACAACATCCTGACCAAGGCGACTCCTTGGGTCAAGAGGCAGCTTGCCAAAAGGGAGAAGGCCGACTTCGCTGCATTTCGAGACCACCAGATTGTGAACCTAGCCCTTTGGGGCCTCTACAGGCGGGCGTGCGCCCTTCTCCCTCAGGTGGCATGCGCTACGACGCCGTGGTATTGCCGGATGTGCAGCCGGACTTTGCGCACGAAGGCTGCCCTTGGTGCCCACTTCTTTAAGGTGCACAAACGAAAGGCGGCCTACAGAAGGTATGGAGGAGGCACAGTATGCCGAGCCTGCCAGCGCAACTTCTGGGCTCGTACGAAACTCATGATCCACCTGCGGGACTCGCCTAGGTGTGTGGCGGTGCTGGCTGGGCTAGGGCCCGCTCGAGACCCCTTCCTCCCAGGACTTGGAAGCAGAGGATGGAGGGCAGCGGCGGACGAGGACTACACCCCAGCTCTTCCACTGCCAGGCGAGGCACCAGCTCGAGGAGGTGGAGAACTACGATGGCCGGAGGAGATGCGGATGGCCTACAAGGAGGCCTGCGACAGCCTCCTTGATGCCGAGGGCCCTAACACCCTGGAAGCATTCCGCGAGCGTGTCCTCCGTGTCCTTGGGAACTACCCCCTCTACTATGAGGAGGCCTTTGAGATCATTGAGGTGCTGATCCATGATGTTGCTGTGATCTGTGACAATGGTCTCAACGACTACTGGACCAAGGAGGAGGTGGACAGACTCGTTTCAGCGATGAAGTCCGTCACACCGGAGGTGTGGACAGCTGGAGCTGACCAGGCCACTACATGTCCTCCTACGGCTTCGCTGAGCTCTTTCGCGGAGCTCCTCGAGGGTTTTGAATGGGACAGTGTTCTGCCCTCGCCTACCTCGCAGCACGAGACCTATGACGGCATCTTAGTGATCCTGGACGAAAGCTGGAAAGTTGCGTGGCTTCGGTCCAGTGAGATGCTCGATTGCGCAACCGTGTTAGATGACTTTTGGAGCCTTTTACCGGAGCAGCTGCGTGGTGCATGGGATGAACTCCTAAAAGGGAGAGAGCCCACGATACAGGCACCTACCAGCTTTTGGGAACATAGGCTCTCTGCGCCCTTCAGGAGATGTCGGGCGAGACTTTGCACTTAATTAAGCCGCGCATTCGACCTCTGAAAGCCCGCAACAACATATATATAGAGAGTACCCTATATATATATATGTATATAGTAGGAACCTTACTATAAGGACCCCCAAATAAGGCACCCCTAATTGTCGGAATCTTCCAAATAGATACTAGGTACCACAAATCATCTGGCTTCAAACTGGAGCCGTGAAGCCTCAGGTTTCGGCTGACAGGTTCGACATCAAGTACCCCAGTGGCGCGCACGACTGCGAGGTATCATCTGGGCAGTTGTCAAAATTATGCCCCCCTTTTGGGGCACCCTAAATATTAGGTGCCGTATTATAATGAGGACCCAAAAACGGGGCCATAATTTTGACAACTACCCATCTAGGGCTTTGATCTGCTGGTTCCGGGTCCTGAGGCCTAAACCCTAAACCCTGAAGACGTTGCATACCCCATAAGCCCTAAAACCCCAAAGCCCCAAAACCCTAAAGCCCTAAAGGCCTAAACCCTGAATCCCTGAACCCTAAACCCCAAATCTTAAAACCCTAAACCCTAATTCCCTAAACCCTGCAGATGTTCAGGGTCCAGTCCCGGCTTCTATGGAACGCTTGCTTCAGGAACTGGGGTCTCGGTTTTTGGGCATCCAGGGTGGAGGTCTGGAGCCTTGAAATCCTGGAGGTTAGACTTGAAGCTTTCCGGGTGTAGGCTTCATAGGCTTTAGGATTAAGAGTTTAGGGTTTTGGTTTCTGGTTTCGGGTTTGGTTTTGGGTTTAGGGGTTTTGGTTCAGGGTTTAGGGTTTCGGGTTTGGTTTGGGGTTTAGGGGTTTTGGTTTAGGGTTTAGGGTTTTGGTTCACTGGGTGTAGGGGTGCCATACTTGAATATGCTTATTTTTTGTACCTGTCCCCTTAAAGGAATCAAAAAAGTGGTTTATCACTTCAGTTTCTACAAGGCCCCTATACGAAAACCGAAAACCAGATGAACATAATAACCCTTGTAACCAGTAGCCCTTGCTGGCATAAAGCATAAGCCGCATACCTTCCGGCTACTGCTGCCTTGTGAGGCCATGTTCGTGGATCAGCTTAGCAATGGCCGGGTGCCTGGGTCGCAGGAAGCAAAGCTTTAGGTATACGGGTCAGCAGCTCTCTACTTGGAGGATCATGGGACTTAGTAAGTAGGGTTACAAGTACCTTAAATGGGGTTATCAGTATTTATAAGTATAGTTATCTTGGTTGTAGCCCTAGTTACTTAGTCCCATGTCCCTTTAAGTAAACCCTAAACTCTGGGGTTCGGGGTTTGCGGATTTGGGTTTGTCGGATTGCGCCGGCGAAGCATAGCAGTTCAGCTTTAGGGTGTAGGGTTGCGAAGAGGAACCAGCAATGGTCCAATCACTGTGATGAACTAGCTTTCTGCAAGGTTTGCACCCGCCCAACGTGTTTCCTCCAGGCAAGCAACTTCGCGAGATTTTCTCATGATATTAATGCGTCAAAACGTATACAAATCCGAAACCCTATATGTTTACAGGGCTACCCTTTTATAGGTTTCCCTTTTTTGAGTTCCCTATACAAGTCCTTAAAAAGGCAGGTTTTCCAGGGTTCAGGTCAACTCTACTTGGAGGATCATGGGACTTAGTGAGTAGGGTTATAGGTACCTTAGTCGGGGTTAGTGGTTACAGGTAGAGTTACCTTAATTACATCCCTAGTTACTATAGGTCCCATGACCCTTTAAGTAGCCCTAAACCCTGCTTCTAGAACGCTCATAGATTCCTTTAGAGGAACCCTTCTTAGGAATCCCTGTAGATCCGTTTGAAGGAACCCTAATAGATCCCTTAGTTACTAAGTCCCATGACCCTTTAAGTACACCCCATGGTGTGGAGCCTTTGGGGTCTTCTTTGTGTTCAGTCGCTCTCATACGCCATCCCCGACCCCAGCGACTCCCCCAAAGGCCTTAATGAAGGAATATATACCTTAAATGCCTAACATGTTCAAAGGAATCTTAAGAATAATATTCTTTACTATGGGGTCCTTAATGAAAGAATATACCCTAACAGCCTTAAACTATATTAGGAGCCCTAAAAAGACTTAGGGTAGATTCCTTCATTAAGGGGTTTTGGAGTCTTTGGCCCTGAGCCCTAGTTGCAGGATCCAAGGACTAAGCTCTAAGCCCCAGGGACCCTTTCCGCCTTTCCCAAAGCCCTTCTGGTCCCATTTTAGGGTAAACTAGAGGCTGGCTTGGGGGCCTAGGCATGCTCCTGATCAGAAAACCTCCTCCCCTGATCCCCTAAACCCTATTCCCCTGATCAAAGGTCTATGTCATCACCAAGGGCGACAATCGAAACTCCGACCCACGGTGGCGAGGCGGGAAGAAGGTGACACATCTTCGTGGTTTCACTTAGGGTGTTTCAGCGTTTAGGGGTTTAGGTGTTCGGGTTTTACGGTTTAGGGGTTTAGGGCTTAGGGGTCTAGGGTTTAGTAATGAATTTAAGGCTATGCATGGGGGTTTTGGGGAAACGGTTTAGGAGTTTAAGCTTTCGGGGTTTAGTGGTTTAGGGTTCGAGGGTTGTATACGGGATCTTAGGAACTTTGCTGCGATGGTTTAGGAAAGTCTTCTTCAGAGATTGAGGTTGAGGCTGGCAGCACAGATTTGACGGACGAGACTTGCGGCTGCGGTTCGGCATCTGAATACTTGGAGGGTCGGGGGACTTAGTAAATAGTTATTTTCGAGACTTATAAGTATCGTAACCCCCATTTAGGTTCCCTTTCAGGGTACTTATAAGTCTACTTACTACCTACTTGCTAAGTCCCCCGACCCTCCAAGAAACCTCTGAAGGCCCGCTAGTTTCAGGCGGGTCGAGAAAATCATCCTAAGGCCCCTTACTCGCGCTTACTAGGAATTCCTCGTTGAAGATCAATAATTGCAATGATCTATCCCCATCACGATGCATTTTAAAAAGATTACCCGGCTCGTAATGAGTATAGCTTATTTTAGGAGAGAGCAGATCTAGGTGGCGTTGGTGTGCCCAGAGCCTACCGCAGGCTGGTATGACAATCGCAGAATCGCCAGAACCCTTTTTCCAGACCCCCGGGAGGATCCAAAAAGTAGATCCCTTAATGGGGTTCCTATAAAGTACCCTGAGTAGTATAGGGCCCCAAATTAGGGGATCTACTTTCTAGATTCTAGATCCTCCCGGGGGTCTGGGTTGCGGACATCATTAACTTTGATGCAGGCGGGGACCTGTTCTACATCGACCTCCCTGTCCCTTGGAAGAATCGAGTACTTATGGTGTTGGGACGCTGGGTTGTCGCTTGGATTGACTGCATCAAAGGATTGAAAAGATTTGGGTTCAGGGTGAAAGAAATCACCATGAGTTCACATTCAAAACGTGGCGCGTGCAGGGTTTATGTGTGTTTTGTTGTTTGTTTGAGTTTCGTTATTTCGGGGTTGTAAACAGCGATGGGCTCACTATAGGAACCCTCTTCATTGCACAAGTCCTCTGACGGCCCATTGGGTCAATGCGAGATGCAGCGTCCGCGGATCTGTTTGTTCTGAGTCTGGGTCTGTGGGTTGAGTTGGGTTGAGTTGGGTTTCTGAAGCTAAACGACCCTAAAGCCCTCAAATCTACACCACGCTAAATCTCTCAAAGTCAGTGTGCACTCGGGAGTTTGTGCAATTTAGGGAGTTAGGGCCCCCTGTTCGTTACCTTTATATAGGGCCTACATCGTAAACCCTATACAGCTAGGATATGTATGTTAGGGTGCTCATAGTGAGACAATGAGACCTCAACAGCGACACGGACTGTGCTTCAGGGTTTATGTAGGGCCTCAGGGCCGTTCAGGATTTAGGGTTTAGGGCTTCGGGCTTGGGTACACCCCACTTGGGGTGGAGACTCCTGCGCCCTGCGGCAGACACCTTGTTTCGGTTTAGGCTTTCCGGGCATTTTTCAGGTTTTGAAGTTTTAGGGTTTGCCTGGACCCTTAAGAACCTCCCTCCTTCGAGTTCCCCATTAAAGTTTACTTCTGAAAGTCCTTAAAAAAAGGTAGGTTCTTTCAGGTCGAGGTAGGATTTATAGGATTCTGAGCTGCTTCGGTCTTTTGGTTTCAGAATTTCAGGTTCTTCTAGGCCTCAGGGTTAACGGGCTTTGGGTTTCAGGTTCAGGTGCCCAGGGTTCCGCATTTCGGGTTTAGGCTTCATCAAGAGTACCCAAGTACTTTCCTTGGAGGTAATTATAGCAGTTCGTTAGGGTCAGATCCCTTTTTCAAAAGGTACATTGGTTACTCTAGACCCAAACCCTAAGACCGTTAAAACCCTAAAGCCCCAAACCCTAAAACCCTAAAGCCCCAAACCCTAAACCTAAACCCTAAGCCCTACTCTGGGCACCGCCTTTTTTTCGGGGCTTCCGTTTTTGAGGCCGAGCCGGCTTCTGACCTGACTTTCCAGGAGACAGGCGGGATGCAGGGCTTGGGTGGGTTTTAGGGGTTTAAGGTTTAGGGTTTGGGGGGTTTAGGTTTTAAGGTTTAGGGCTTAGGGTTTAGGGTTTAGGGGTTTAGGGGTTTAAGGGTTTAGGGCAAGTTTAGGGGTTTAGGGGTTTAGGGGTTTAAGGTTTAGGGCTTGAGTTCCCCCTTAATTCAGGACTATACCTCAAATCACTTCAAGGTTCCTACAGTATCTCTACTAGGATGCCCAGTAGTACCCTTATTCCCTTTTTGTAGTCCTAGGTTCCTTATAAAGTTACCCAATACCAAAAAGAGAGGCCTTTTTATTCTTAGGTTACTGGGTATCCTAGTCTAGATTTGTTGGTTTCCGTTAATGTACCCTCTCGAGGGTCTAGGGTTCCTATATACAATTTACATACGGAATACTCCTTAACTAAGGGGTTTCGGAGTCTCTGGGATTTCGGGTGTTGGTCCGCGTCTGCTTGTGATAACTTTGATCCCCACGGGCCCCACTACTTCTATGCACATTTTAAGGGCTTTCAACCCAGAGGGCCCTTTTGCACTGCCATTATTAGGGGCTTAGGGTTTAGGGTCCATATGTACTACCATTATGGAATATAATGAGGTCCCAAAAGACCATCCCTATTCTGTTTTGGGGGCCTAATTCCAAAATGCTAGTGCATATGGACCCTCTTCGTAGTTTAGCATGGGTCCGAGAAAGCGGGTATTTACTAGTATAGTATATCTAGGCGTTGCATTGTCGCTGGGTTCCGGGGGTTCGGAGGGGCTTATCCCCGTGTCGAGGGTCTTGGATTCAGGGGCTGTAGTATAATGCTAAAGTAAACATATATCCTTAACGAATCAGTTTTAAAGTTTCTTGTCCCTAAACCCTTCACCCAAACCCCGGGGATGGGACTCTATAGGCTTTAAACCCTGGACATAGAAAGGCATCCACATTCCAGTGGAGTGGGCGACCGGAGCAGACATGACTCCAAATGGCGGAATCATTTCCATCCGATGCCTGCCTTCGCATGAAGAGAGTTCTGGTTTTAGCAGTCAGGGTTTCGTGCGGAGTGTTGTTTGTGGCTTTCAGGCAAAGAACTTTATGAGTGGTGTGAGTTGCACGGTCGCTAGCCATCCGGCTGAGTCTTCACCGCAGACACCTCCCTAGATAAAAGCAGCTCGGATCCCAGACCTACCCCGAAACCCCGAATCATGATACGATTTGGCATGGCCCTGATATGATCAGTTTTGCCGTGGTATGACGTGATGAACGTGTTCTTGCATGATGGGACGTGTTTTTTGCATGAGAAACTTCAGACCAAACCGAGGATCCTACGGTAACGTGCTGATGTGGCCACGGAATTCCTGGGAGTCGGTGGAGCAGAGCATGGCGAAAGATGCGCCCCGGCCTTTGAATCATACCCCACCTGAACTAGGGCTTAGGGATAATGGGTTGGGGTTGAGGGGTTTAGGATTCAGGGTTTCAGGCTGTAGGGTAGAGAGCCTTGACTAGGTAGGCTGTTAAAATACTTCATTTTTGCTTGTGCTGGGTTTGGGAGGATCTTATTTACGAATGTGCTTCGAAGTCTCTACATGGGCAACCTAGCCACCTCCTGAGGCTTTTGAATGTAGATATTGTGGGGCGTGTTACAATACCTAGCAAGAGGCTTCCTACAGATCTCCTGTACATTGATATTGCAACATCCCTGGAGCCGTAAGTCTCGATTTGGGAGGTCCTGTCTGTTTGTTTGTTCGTTTCAGGGCTCAGTTTGGGGCCAGGTGGTCAGGTGCCGGGTCTTGCTTTGAGGAGTAACTCGGATGCCCAGTAGTACCCTTATTCCCTTTTTGTAGTCCTAGGTTCCTTATAAAGTTACGCAATACCAAAAAGAGAGGTCTTCTTATTCTTAGGTTACTGGGTATCCTAGATTAGCTTTTTTGATTGTCAGACATGGTGCTCCACCTAGAATGACACAGTCAAGATGTCTTCTCAACAACAGTAACATGGAGACTTTGAGCTGTGTGCAATCCTTCCCCCAAGGGTCCAAAGGACCCAATAATTAGGTACTCGGTTTTAGGATAGTAGTTATGTAGCTTAGGATTTGGGCGAGTATATGATTATTGGGTACTTGGACCCTCGGGGTTCGTGAAAGGTGTGAGGTGTTACTCTCACAGCGAAGCCCTGTGATCCTCTATTGCCGCTCGTGTTACTCTGAAAGTCGAACCTGTGATTCTCTCCGTTTGTTGGTGAAAGTGGGGGTGAGTCCTAGCATGGGCTAGATGAAGCTGCCTCTCTGGGCTTTGGAGTGCCATCCTTTGGTACTTTGTTGGGGACCTGCTACTTTATGGGAGCCATTATGAAATAAAGTATCGACTTTCTCTTACAAGCCCAGCTGGAGCACTTTAAGTACCTAAGCCCGGAAGCTCTAGGCCCTGAACCCCAAACTCTCTCCTGAACTTTGAGCCTCGGCCCGGAACCCTCCTAATCCCGAAACGGCCCTCAACTCTAAGCCCTACTATAGGGGCCTTAATAATGATTACCTTTCCTATTTTCAGGGTCCTTGTAATTAATTATAGTATATTGGGCCCCCAATATTCAGGCCCCTATATTAAGCCCTACCCTGCAGGCCTGCTTTGTCAACAAGGCAAATGAGCGACAGGGAGAAGCGCCTTCGCTAAACAAGCACAGAATTAGCGGGTTACCTTGGGGTTCCTCTTAAGGGTTACCATAAACGTACTATAAGGGTTCCTTTCAAGGGCTCTATAAGGGTTTAGAGTTTCCGAATAAGAATCTTGCTATTGAGGGTACTATAACTCCGGTCCCATATGGGGGATACAACACACTGTTGAGCGCGGGCTACTATCTACTCGAATCACAGGGCTTGGTACAGGGGCCTCATTAGTTTCCAATCTTATTCGTTGGTGTAGAGACAGAAGAGAGGAAGAAGCGACAGTCGGAACAGCAGCCATAAGGGCCCTTACAAGCCGGAAGATTATGGTACCCATCGTGCGCGATATTCGGAAGCCATTCGGAATTTTCCGGCTGCGTGATTGTGACGACGAGGGCTTACTTGAAGGTTCATGGGCACCTGCCGGCAATCCCAAAGTAGAATCTAGCGTTTTTTGTTAGGAATTACGTTTATGATTTGGGGAAGTACCCCCATGACAGTATATACCTAGGACCCTTTGGTAATATTGTGGGCATGGTCAGCCACAGGTAGAGCCAGGGTCTGCCCGGATCAGGAACTTGCAACCAATGTCTAAAGCATTCTAATGTCCAAACCCAATACCCTAAACCTTTACGCATGCAGCTCAAGACTCAAAACTGGCCAATGCCTTCGATATCTTCTCTCCGTGAAACGCACAGGGCAGCATCATAAAGCGTAGACCGTAAATCCTACAAACCCCGAACCCGCAAACCGTATATTTGTTATTGAGTAGAAGCACAAGTACCTTATAGATATATAGTTACAAAAGGACCCTGCGAAGCGAATGTCCGATGTCCTTGTTCAAAACATGACCCTGATATCGGGGTTATGATGCTTTTATCACTATGAAGCCGCTACTTACGAAGTACCCCTCCACTGTCTTTATGGAATGCTAAACTTCATGTTACACACCTAAACACATAAAACTGCTCAACCCTTCTCGAGCCCTTGTAAGATTCCGAAGCCTCTAACACTATAGAACCCTAAATCCTAAACCCTAAACCGTTGTGCAGCTCTTAAAGAGCACTTACAGGAGCCTCAAACCCTTAAGCACTCTAGGACCGTTATAGAGCTCTTACACAACTGTTACAGGAACCCCACACCCTTGAACACCATAGAACCCATGTGGAGCCCCCTCTAAGCCCTAAAAGGCTCTGAAGCTCTTAAAACATCTCTATAGAGAGCTCTTATAGAACCCTTGCGAAGCCCCGAATCCCTGAAGCCTGAGAACTATCTTGACTTCCTAGCTGCTGTTTGTCAGGCTCAGGTCTCTACTAGCTGAGAAAACTTGTTCAATAACCCCCACCCCCTACTTGGAGGTTCATGGGTAGTTATAAGTGGGTTATACGTCCCTTAGTAGGAGTTACAATTGTAGTTACCGTGCTTATAACACTACTTATAACTTACAACTACGCATGAACCTCCAAGTACACCAGGCATCCCGAAATCAAGGCCCTCAAGCAGAGAGAGTTCATCAACAATGGGTCTACATGAGTGGAGAACTGCTGGAGTACTTGGACCACCCTAAGCCTTAAAACCAAGTCGACCCTGCCTCAGTGCCTGGACCCTCAAGAGTATACGGTCTTTATAAACTCCGACAGCCCTGAAAAACCCAGAGTGTTGGGCCCACGAATCAAGACGCATTATGCGCCGTAGACCTGCCCTATAAACCCTAACACTATTACGGATAGTTCTCTATAAATTAGGGTCCCAGTTTAGATCCTAAGCGGGACCCTGATTCACAGAACCACCCATACCCTGAACCCTACATGCCCAGGCTATTGCCTTCGGAAAGAATGGCGACCACTACATCACAGCTCCTCGGCTTTGGTTTATCCAAAACCCCTAAACCCTAAGCCCCAAAAGTCCTACACCCACAAAGCTTCTGCTTTTAGGGTTCAAGGTTTAGGGTTGATCAGGTGGAACAAGCCAGAGATTCCAACACTCCTTAACTAAGGAATATACCTTGAATCATATAAGGATCCTACCATATGTTAAGACATACTCCTTACTTCCCGTATAGAACCCATACAGTATATAGATCCATTTAAGGAACCCTTTAAGGCATGCGGCATATGGGAGTCTCTAAGAAGCTCGGGCTTTCAACCTTGCAGCCGCAATAAGCCGAACAAAAGCGCGCAGTCTCTTCATCCACAGAGCCCAATACCCCTTACTTATGGAATCGGGCTTAAATTATATAGGGCTTCATACTACATATGATTTAAGCTATATTCCTTAGTTAAGGGGTATTGGGCTCTCTGGGAAGTTAAAATGGGAGTTTCCGACAATCAGGGGTACCTAAAGGTTCCTTTCAAGGGCTACTATGAGATTACTATAAGGGTTCCTTTTGTAGGAGTGGTGAGAGACGGCACAGGTGGTCACAAGTGACGGACGCCAGGTGGTCACAAGTCACAAGTGACCGAGAACCGCGTGGTCACAAGTGGTAACAGTGCCAGCTTCGCAGACAAAAAGTTTCCCTTGGGTCGCGGAAATCCTCCTCGACGGGTCGGAGATCCGCAGCTTTAGCGGGGGCTCTGTGACGCTGGGCGATAGCTACAGCAGGAACCTTAAGGATAGGGATTCTGTTAGCCCCCTCACACAGAGGATCTCCAAGGCATGTCGGGTCAGCTGAGCGAAACCTCGACCAATACGGAGAGGGCACAACCCTAAGGGTCCATGTACTCTTATAGTATATACGTTGCTCTGGAAGTAGTCCCCATATAGGTACTTCGGGGCCAAAGTATATAGTACAGTTAGGGTCCGTACTTACACATCTACTTATTAGATACCTACCTACCAAGTTCCCCGACCCTCCAGGTTGGTCCCCAAAGCCATAATAAGGATGGTATTGGGACCCAATTCCATAGTGGTTATAAATGGACCCTCTGGGAAAGAGGGTTTGTTAATCAGGGTGCATCTTAAACTTGACTGTCAGGTCAGCGAGGGCAGGTACCCACCTGTGTGGCTACTCGCTTGCATTTAAGAGCGGAAGGTTTTGAGGCCAGGAGTTTGGGGTTTAGGGGTTCAGGATCTACGGGCTCAGGGTTCCTGTCTGTTGATTTTCAACTATCCGTTCTGGTCCCCAATAAGTTGCCGGAGAGTAGAAGCGCTCAGAAGGTTGAGAGCAAATAGTCACAACTAACAACTAAGAAAGAATGTAATATGTGTATGTATATACATATATACTTACATATGTACGCACACACACATATGTATATCTATATAGACAGACAGAGAGGTTACCCAAGCCGCGCAGCAATAAGCGCTCTACTAGGTGGCTTTGGTATTTGAGCGTGCTCTGGTCTTCTTGGGTTGGAACCCTAGACCCGAGACCGTAGAGCCCAAACCAAATACCCTTGTTGCTCTTTGGTTCGAAGAAGGCTGCTATGAAGGGTTGCGTAAGGTTTTCTAAGGGTGCTGGTGTCCAATTATACACCTCGAAATAGTTTGGATTCTGGTGTACATTATAGTACATATATGCGTGTGTGCGTGTTTATTATGCATATGGAAGAGAAGGTCATATAATATGACGATCCTCAGTCGTTCCGGCCTCTACATTGACTCCTTGGCTGATGAACAGAACCATGCACTACCTGAAACTATCAACTAGGAGAGTTCGCGCTTAGCCGCTGTATGAAAATCGAGCATGCAGCCCGCTTGGTACCAGAGTTCGGGATCTCCGTGACGTGTGGGGCTCGTTGAGGATCTCAAGGACAACAAGTTAATATAGTGGCCTTTATCATTAGCTATACTATTTTGGGGGCTCCCTATTTTAGTTATAGTAAAATGCACCCCAACACCCTGCCAAAATTAAGAAGGCCCCTATGGTATGGGGGTCTATCGCTGATATGATGAGCCCCACGTGGGACATGAGCCATCAACCTTTTCAGGGCGCATTTGGTCCTTGAGGGTTCCTTTAATGGCTCCTTTAAGGGTTCCTTCAAGGTTTCCTGTAAAAGAATCCTTTTCCCGCTATCGAGCACCCAAATAAACCCAAAATCCTAAACCCTTGAACCCTAAAGTCAAAAACACCCAACCCCAAACTCTAAACCCCTCGACCCCAAATTACACCTTGAATCCTAGAATCCCCAAAACCCTAAAACTTTTACCGAGCGGCTGACGTCCCAGTCCCAGGTATTTCAGCCTCTCGGGCAACTATCAGCAGGCACTGGCCACTTCCATGGCCACTGAGTGAGGGCTCGAGCTTCAGACTGTTTTGTGGTTTAGGGCTTAAAGGCTTTAGGCTTTAGGGCTTAAGGGCTTTAGGGCTTAGGGCTTAATTGTTTAGGGTTCAAGGTTCCCGATTGAGTCAGATCGAGCTCAGCATGTCTTAATCTTCGCAAGGGCCTGCAAAGAGTGGTCATGATTTTGCGAAGGCAGTCTCCCGTAGTAGCTGGCAGAGCTCTATGCGCGGGTGCACGGCTCCGGCGATTACATCCCCGAAACAGAACCGAGATCCGAACAATCATACGTGAAACGACTAGCCCTATAGGCACTCCCGGCCAGCTATGAAGTCGAATTGGTAGAACCAGCCAGGTATTCCCAGAACTCATAGCCTTGCGTGCTCTGATACAACTGAAGCAGCTGAGCCCCTTCGTATTTCACCGGCTTTTGGCATGACGTCACGGTTTCGGGTTTGGGGCTTGCGGTTTTGGGTTGTTTGGTTTGCCTTCCGGGCTTAGGATTTCTGCTTCCGCCGGGCACGTGGCATCAACACTACACCCGAGGCCCTGATACACCCACAGCTCTGTTGCCGTGTACTAAGCGAAAGCTCACGTGCATGCTCGGCCTTTCACAGGCGGCCAGCAGACCACACTCAAAGTGTGACCTTCTGGCCCCGAAAGGAGCATCTACAGAACAGCAAGTCGCCTCTGACTGCCGGAGGTCCAAGAACCAGCAACATGATTTCGATTTAGCCCGTACCAATCAGTCCATCGTTCTTTGTGTGTCTCCATCTTGGGTTCTTTCTGTTCGTGTACTTGGAAATGTGCGCCTATCTTTCTATCTGTCTACCTAACTGTCTACCTGTCTGTAAATGGCAGATGAATGGGAGTCTCGGAACCGCTCAGGTCAGCACTAGTCTCTGCATCCGAAGCCTGCCGAAACCTCATTCCAGCGAAGGCTTGAGCAGGAGTTCAGACTATTTAGGAGCGAGAATATCACGGTGACAGAATTTTAGGGGTTCGCGCTATGCAAAGCACCCTGTGCGATTCAGGATTTAGTTCCGGCAAGACTGACACATGTCATGTTTTTTTGTCATGTTTTTTCAGGGTTGCGCATCTAGCGGTTTAGGGTTTAGAGGAGCAATACCAAACTCTCAACAACGAGCCCGTGCTTTGCTCCCCACAGGAGATTCACAGAATGTGTTTGCCCTGCATCCCTCCGTTGGAGACACCCTAGCCGTAACTCCAGTGAACAGCATAGCAAAAGCGCCCAAACCGGTCCTCGATCTGCGTCCACGGTCCCGAACTTGCTGGAGGCATTCGAAGGGGATGCCTAGAGAGAATTCGTTTGTTTTTTTTCGTGCTTTGAGCAGGGCCGGGTGCAGCATCAGGGCTTTCGGATTCAGTTTGAGCCCGAATGAACTGCCAATGCACTGGCATACTAACTCATTACTTGCGGGCCCCGAAACCCTCACTATAGCCTGTAGTATCATGGTAGTTCCTCTTTGGGTTACCCTTTAGGATCCTAGTTATAAAATGGTTTCACCAAAAACAGGAACTACAATGGAGAGTTTAGGTATTATTATCTTTCTCTAAACCCTGAAGCCTTCGACCCTAATCCTTAAAGACCTTAAACCCTAAAACCTAATTTACCCTGAACCCAATGCAGAGATCCGCAGAGATGTCCTGAGCCCTGGCACCTGCTACTTCCAGACATCGGTTGAATGGCCACAAGATTAGCCACGGCCGCATTTGTGAGCTGTTCTTAATTCCGGCTCTTTCGGAATCCTCCCCAAGTCTAATTCTTGCTTGGCCTGATATGAGAATCGGAACAGTCATGATTAATACTGCGCCATTCCTCGACAATATCCCCAAGATCTTGATAAATCATTAGGGCCTCCATAGCTCAATGTTTGTTGAGAGCCAAGAAATTTCAAGACATGGTCTACTGCCCTCTAGGGCAGCCCCAGTTGCCCATTGGATTAAACCCTAAGCCGTAAGCCGGGACTACCGAAAGGACCATGATTGAAAGCAATCCGTCATTTGCTGCTAGCCGCGTCCTGCACTGCCACTTACGGTAAGCCTTTCAGCCCCGAATGCCTAGTCCAAGTGCAGGAGCATGAATGTTTGGTAATCGCATTCCGTTAGTGGAGATCCTGCTTGATATTCTATATAGTATAGTACGCTAAGTATTCACGCCTCTGTGTGAATCTTACCGTATACGACGACATCTGCGATTCAGGAAGCCAGTACGGACTAACGAAGATGCATGTTCACACAAGTGGGCTTCGCAGTCTCTGATTCAGGATGAGGCTTAGCTAGCACTCTGCTGGGCTGAAGACAGAAGTGTGTAGGCTTCCCAGCCGGCTATGCTGTCATTGAAATACGGCAGTCTGCTAGCTTTAATTTGGCAGCCAAGACCTAAACTTTGGCATCAATCAGCGCAGGATGCGCACAGAGCAGCACATGCATGCGGCGGAGATCACTAGCATGCGAATATCCCTAAACCTTAAATGCTAAGCTGAAGGAGCTATGGTTGGGTCCATGTCGTTCACAGTTCAAGTATGTTCATGCAGCTCAGGACTCATTGAATGTCCTTGTCCCGAGCGGTGATGTCTGTATATGTCTGTATCCATGTATGCACGAAGGTTGGTAGGTGGGGCGGGCGGTCGGTAGGTGGTGGGTAGGTACGTGGGTGGGAGGTATGTATGTGTGTCTACTGCCAGTATGTATTTTCTCGTGCTTCTGGTTTGTATGTGTATATGTATGCTTGGTGACCTGAATTGCATGTGTTCCAGCTGCAAAGGAACATGCATGATGCATTTTGTGCGCGGTGTAGGAAGGTCCGCCGCCTTGTAGACTTGTACTGTACTTGCAAATTCGTACACATGCTGGACGTGCATGCCTTTCTTCCCAGGGCATGTATGTGAACAATGTTCCATCGTGTTGTACGTTGGAGTTTGCTTGCTGTAAAAAATCTCTGCAGCACTACATCCGCCAAAGCGGCCCTCAGCCTTATTCTAAGCCCTGAACCCGAAACCCGAACCCTAGACTCGAGAGTTCGAAGAATTTGGCCTGTGATCTTACCGAATCGATCCATCAGTGCTGTTGCTGAGCACAATTTCACATCATTACGCGTTCGACAAGGTTAGTAGAGATCACACCAAGCTAGAACCGAAGAATTTGGGGGCTTGAACCCTTAAAACCTAGACTCCCAAAACTATCGTTTATTAAATCCGCATGGCCCACACCCCTAAAACCTAGGTGCTTGTGGCTGTAAGGGAATATGATTGCGAATTATTCCGACCGCTATGTTAGGACCTGGAGGCTCCAGTGACTCGTTGTCAGGGTTTGGGCAACTAAACCCTGCCTGTATGGTCTCCACCCGGGTTCTCTTTTTGGTTACCTTATAGGACCATGGAATCCTAAGTATAAGCTTGGTGAAACCAAATAAAATCTGCAACGAACTTAGGAGGTAAGCGACGCACAAGTAGGGTTTATTTACGGCTGGGTCGACCTGGAAAAAGTACGCTCGGACAGAGGAAATCTTTTGGGGCACTCAGTGTACTTTGGTATGCATATATTCTGATGTAGAGAAGCCAGCATATTCAGTCCGACTGCTGTGTGCGATGGGCATTTGTGGGTGTGTAGTCGAGAGATATCAAACAGATACAAGGAGAGATAGGGGGAGAGAGACTGAAAGGGAATCCAGCTGATGCTGATGATTCGCGTCCCTTCCAGTCCTTAGCTAGGTGGCAATTTGGGAAACTTTTTGATTTCCCTGATGTTTCCTATAGAGGTACCTATTCATAAACACTTTTCAGAGCCCCAAAACTACAACCCAGTTAAATCAGTCCAGTCACTGGGTCGAAGAGCTGCGCCTGCTATGCCGATGCTGATGATGCTCGCCCGTCCTGCCGGTTCAATCCGCCCAATCACTGGGTCGAACAGCCAACTGCTAGGAGATCGCGGAGAGAGATTGAAAGGAAGTCCAGCTGATGCTGATGATGCTCACCCCTGCTGATCTTCAAAATTATCCAATCATGGGGTCGAAGTGCTGTGCGTGCTGTGTGCTCAACGCGAGGAGATCGGAGGGAGAGATTGAAAGGAACTCCAGCTGATGCTGATGCTGCTCGCCCCTGCTGGTCGGTAAATGAGTCCAGTCACTGTGTCGAGCTGCTATGCCTGCTGTAGTTTCAAATGCCAGGAGATCGGAGAGAGAGAGATTGAAAGGAAAAGCGGCTGATGCTGATAATGCTCGCCCCTGCTCGTCGGACTGCTGCGCGTGCTGTGGGGTCAAAGGCAAGGAAATCCTCATATTGCTCACAAATGGCGCGTTTGCGGAGTTGTCGTTTCATTAGGTGTGGGTTTCGCGGATTGGGTTTCAGGGTTCAGAAATTCGTGCAGAACGTGACACTGCTTCTGGATTGTACAGCTGCAGGCCACAAGTGCGCTGGCCCTGGGTGGGTCTAGGATTTACGCGCTAGAGGTTAAGGGGTTTAGGGTTTAGGGTGTACGGTTGCTGCAGAGTGCTAACTGTCAAGAACTGTCAACTGTAGGAGTGCTTGCAGGCAAAAGGACTGATTCTGAAAAGCTTGAGGATGTTAGGGTTTAGGGTTTTCCATAGCCAAATAAAGGTTGTGGCCTTGTTGGTTTCTGCAAGCCCTAAACCCCTAAACCCCTAAACCCCTAAACCCCAAACCCCTAAACCCTAAACCGTAAATCCCTAAGCCCCTAACACCCTAAATCCTTAAATCCCTAAATCCCTAAACCCCTAAACCCCTGAACCCCTTAAGCAAGCCCCAGGGTTGCCATCTCGAAGACCAGTCATTCCTTTGAGCTTTGGGTTTAGGGTTTAGGGGTTTTAGGGGTCGCCGTGGATGGCTGTTGTTGTCCAAAGCCCTTACAGGTGTAGGGTTTAGGGTTCAGCCTCCTAAACCGTAAATTTCAAAAACGCTGCAGCACCAATGCCCTACGAGCCCAAACGCGAAAACTTTAGAATCCCAACCATCTCCAACCGTAAAGCCTACAT